GATTGTATCTGGAATAATCAACAAGTGTGGTCTTGTATAGCACCGAATATCTCGTACAATAATTCAAAAGGTTCATAAATGACGATACCGATATCAAAAATCGTAAATAAGCATAAAGAAAATAAACGGTCGGCTAGTCGTGGATTAATGTGTATTTCATACAACCGAATAAACCGAATAAATTGTAAAATAATATAAAATGATACATGGCAAAGAAATAAATGAAGACGTCAGGGATTTTATGTGCTACGTATCGGCACCCTAAAAAACACCAAGCAGCAAGCACCCTACATAGTCGTGGAGTAATAGTTTATTTGGTAGAACCAAATAATACAAAATAATATATAGTGTTGTTATATGGCAAAGAAATAAATGAAATGAATTCAGTCGGAATGCCGTGTCCTACTTCTCGGCCCCGTAAAGATTATCAAGCACACTGTGTTTTCATGTCATTACGTATATAGAGTAATATGTAAAGGAAATTTATACCGGATTTGTTTAACGTTATATTTACGATAGTATTGTTAGATCTTCAGACCGGTTTTCTACAGGAAAACTTAAAAAAAAATTTTATATAGCTTTGTTATCTTTGTGAATGTGAATATTTTCTATTCTTTATTTCAGAAGCAAGCAATGTTTAGTTCCTCCATATTTTTTATGGTCTGGTTGACATTGGTTTGCACCGTGACGTCAGAAGTGAAAGATACTATTCTTAAAATTGGTAGGTTATTTACGATCATATTGGAGCTAATTTCTGTTCTAACACGACACCTTTCTATCTGTCGTCAAACTACTGACTTGTTTTTTTAAAATTTGCCCCATTTAACCAAAAACTTTCTCACCTAGCAAAATGGTATTATCCACAAAATAGGCCCCTTAAAATTGTCAATGAATTGATGTACTTTACATTTGAACTAATATATTCGTAACATTTAGAAAACTGTCTAAGTTAGAGAATTTGATTTCCGATAAAAGGTATTTAGGTGCTTTATAATAATTCATATTTATAATGAAAGTGTATTGATACTGAGAATTTGTTATTTTATCACAACAATCTACAATGTTTACCTTTAAAATTTTCACACGATCTTCTATTGTTCTTTTAAAATTAAAACTATCGAATTTCTTCATTTATCTTATTGTTAAAACACGATTAAAACTGGTTTACATTAATTCATTACTATATAAATATAAACTGTGAGCTAACAATTAGGCGACCCCTCCATCTAATGGTTCCTCCGAACACACTACTACTGCATTGGAGTCGGCTTACTCATTATTCCAGTCGACCCAGCTGTAAATGGGTATAGATAAGAATCAATAAGTTAATCATAACAATTTTGTTACAGCATCACCATTTTATGATCAACGAAATCGTACCACACCCTGTATTTTAGGACAACCGGAAAGACCAATATGAAGAGGTCTGTCTGATCATCGATCAGCTGGTAGACAAGCTTAAGTGAACTACGTCCTTATAAAATGATTTTTTCTTTTAACAGGAATAGAAAGCTTGTAATTCTACCCTTTAAAGTGATATAACCTCCTAATTTCTCGCTTTAACTGTATAATCAAACAACATTGGCATTATCACTAATAGCCTGAAATAATTTGTTTTTGTTGTAGGGATGTTCTCGTTTACCATTAAGTTACAGCATTCTGTTACATTTCTAGAAATAACAACATTTTTAAATGGATGATCTAGTTAATGCTTTTAGATCTTTGATTATCGGTTAGGAATTATACCTTGCTTTGAGTTTTTTTTATTTAAGACCTGTTTTCTATTTCTGATTTCAATAATTGTTTTCCAATACCAAAAATCAATAAACCTAAATCAATCGTCAGAAACCAGGCTTGGTAATTACCAGGTCGCAGTTAATCTACAAACAATTAACATTCACTTCCGGTTCATATCGATCCCACTTCCGGTTTTTTGAATCCATAATGAGTTATGATTGCATTGCACTGGATTCATTCATTCATTCATTCATTCATTCATTAATTCATTAATTCATTCATTAATTCATTAATTCATTCATTCATTCATTCATTCTGATCGTTCGATCGTTCGTATTTTCAATATTTATTTAGTCATGCATTCATTTATATTTCAATTTCTCTTTCATATCTTGAACATAATCGTACTTGACCCCTATCTCCATGACCGTAAATAATCATACATCAGCTAGAATAACAGTATAATGAAATGACAAAACGTGAAATAAATTATTAAAACCATTGTCAATATTATCACATCACCAATAATTCTCTTATGTACATAATTCTGTTATCGTTCTCTATCTGTAGTTATTATTACATTCTACTAGTATATATTCAATAAACTTACAATAGCCGTGCCGTGCAGTACAAATAGGCCTCGGACCTTAGCATAAATATTTTGTAAAAATTTAAAAATATGACTTTTAGACGTTTTTGGCCCAAGATATGTGTCATAATGCACATAGTTAATTCTAATTTTCAAAAAATAATATGTTATCCCCCGAATCAGTCTGCCACCCATTGAGTCAGTCTGCCCCCTATATGTACCCAGGAGATTTCCAGGAGGGTGGTGTCGCCACTGACAATAGACAATAGTAATACTGTTATTTATATACCAAACATTGTCCAGTACTAAAATAAACTATCTTTTATGTCCAGACAGTTTTTATATCTATTTATTATAGGTTTCAATTGAAACAGAGTATAATTATCTAGTTCCGCCTTTTATTAACTCGTATTTTTCTATTTAGCCACGTCAGTTCGGGTCTAAAGACAGGCTTCTTGTATTCCGAAAAGCAGTAGACACCGAATGCACATTTTGTTCGCGTTACAAAATCTTAGCATTGGAGAGGGCAACGATTTGATTGGCTTGCGGTGTCATCAAATGGACGAATGTTCAAGAGGACAGTCTTTAGACGTCAATTGAAGTGGCTAAATTAAAAGTAAAAGTAAATAAAACAATTGAACGAAAGTTTGGTCTAATTTTAATTCAATTGACTTAGATCTATTAGGACTCTAAATTAGTTTAAACACGTATTAAACACAATATACCTAATGAACACCTGTCGCTAGATAATAACCATATGGTCTAATATCAACTACAACTATTAAATTAGTTTTAGTTATTGAGGAAGCTGTTGTTCCTCGAGGGCCTGGGTGTTTCGTAGCCACCCCGAATTTGGGAATTACATTGTGCAAAATCCTTAATTCTTTGTGATTACAGTGTACGGAACCATCTACCTCTAAGAGTTGACGGTTACGGAGTTGACCTATCAGCTACATTTTGTATATTTTCCCCGAAAAGACCAGTCCAAGTAAAATCAGACTAAACTCTCGCTCTGTTTTTTTATTAGCTTTTATTTCTAATATAGCCACTTCAGTTAGGGTCTGACGACCCTCTTGAACATTCGTCAAATTAGCCATTTGACCTTTTATTTGTTCCAGAAAAGACGGAACAATCGCTTATCAATAAAATTCAAATTGCGTTTCAAAATGCTCAAATTAAGTACATATAAACTTTGAAAGGGAATTTGACATTTGAATACCACTAAAATCGATCGTACAATCACTCACAGAATCTGCGGCATTAAATGGCAGTGAAAACGGAAAGAACATTTCCTTTGACTGTTTATGCGTTTGTGATTACGAAGTACGACATGCTAGAATCGTGGAGATCGTTCTGATAAGTGTTTCTTTGTACCGTTTCAACCTTGTTTTTTACGGTCATACTGTTCTGACGAGAAGTGATGACACTTGCGATGCACAGAATTTAACTTAGGCTTGCTGGTCCGTAGCCACACTTTATAACTAGGAGAGGCAAAAACAGAACTTGATTCTTTTACTTCCCTATCCCCCCCCCCCCCCCTCTCCCCCCCATCCCTTCCCTCTCTGTAGCTACGGGTCCGAGTGCTTGACCTTTTCAGTGAGTACTATGCTTCTCACTTACACAGAAAATAAACATCCACAAACTTTAAAACGTAATACAACTTTATACAATGTATAATATGTCAGTGATAATCGATATAGAATCAAGAACAAAGGTAATAGTTAATTAAAATAAACACAGTAGGGTGACGATAGAAATATCACGAAATGCAAATAACCAAAGCTGTGGCCATAGTTGATTGCCCAGGAGGATGAGGTTAGGTGATGGGGGGTAATATAGCTGGAGAGCAATGTGGGAAGTGGAGGTGGTCGTTGATCGCGAAAGTATGGAAAGGGCGAGAGGGGGCGTATTTAAGTAAGATTACCTGGACCAGCATAATACAATATCACTATTTTTCAATAGATATCAATATGGTGATGATATAGGCCGTCTTTTTCGGGGGTTGGGGGCATTATCGGGAGACATTCCATCTTATCAGGGGATATCATCAACCCCCCCCCCCCCCTTCCTTTTTTCTACGAGCACGTGGATAACATCAAATATACTCTTGTGTTAAAACAGCTTGTCGTATATTTCAGACTGTGGTTTATAAAGTTAATATAATATTAGGTCAATACTAGATCCGGATGTGGAATATAAAACCAATATATAAAACACTTATATTGCCAACTGTTATTTTCGATTTCGAGTTTCGTTTTGCGGTCGTTTTTTTATTATATTAAAAAAGAAAGATAGACTTTTCGATTCTAGAGGATTCAGAGAAAATATAATCTATTGTTTTAAAAGGACGGTTCCCCGAGGATAGGTTCTAGTAGATGGATCCTTAACCAAGCCTCTGACCTTTGGCCTTTATTTATATTATCATAAAAAGGCATCGAGGAATATGGCTGGATGGTATGGAATAATGAGAAAATGTTACTCATAGATCGAAAACAATCGTATTTTATAAAATAAACACATTTTGTTCTTAAGAATTATTTCGATTCCTGTCTCTGATGTTTTAACAGAGAATCTGTTCCTAACAGCTGGTTCTTAGCAATTCGGCGTGAGACTTCATGGATCATCTGGACCATTTACAGTTGGGTAGTCTGTCAGTAGAACAAGGAAAGCAAGCTTATTTACAAGGAAAACAACCATATTTACAAGAAAAACCACCATATTTACAAGGAAAGCAACCATATTTACAAGGAAAACAACCATATTTACAAGGAAAACAACCATATTTATAAGGAAAACAACTATATTTACACGGAAAACAACCATATTTACAAGGAAAGCAACCATATTTACAAGGAAAACAACCATATTTACAAGGAAAACAACCATATTTACAACGAAAACAACCATATGTACAACGAAAACAACCATATTTACAAGGAAAGCATATTAACAAGGAAACAAAGTATATTTACACGGAAAACAACCATATTTACAAGGAAAACAACCATATTTACAAGGAAAACAACTATATTTATAAGGAAAGCAAGCATATCAACAAGGAAAACAACCATATTTACACGGAAAGCAAGTATATTTACAAGGAAAGCAAGCATATCAACAAGGAAAACAACCATATTTACAAGGAAAACAGCCATATTTACAAGGAAAACAACCATATTTACAAGGAAAACAAGTATATTTACAAGGAAAGCAAGCATATTAACAAGGAAAACAACCATATCAACAAGGAAAACAACCATATTTACACGGACAACAAGTATATTTACATGGAAAGCAAGCATATCAACAAGGAAAACAACCATATCAACAAGGAAAACAACCATATTTACAAGGAAAACAACCATATTAACAAGGAAAACAACCATATTTACATGGAAAACAACCATATTTACAAGGAAAACAACCATATTTACAGAAAGACTGCTTTTGTTCAGGAGAACCATTTCGCCTCCTATCTCTCATCCGCAGCCAGATCTCATGTTAATGGTTTTTCTTATAGAATCTGGCATAATCCTAATATTGGGTTGAGCTACTTGACAGCTCATATCCGAATCAGCACAGTTTGTTTCGATCTACATAAAGTACAGAAATTCCAACTGTAAATAAACCTTATATCTGTCCTTGAATTAAGATGATTTGAGTTCATTGAATTGTCATTTCTATCATTTATTCATACCTTTGTCGTTTCAGTGGTACTAGATATAAGACGAGGTAATAATACTGTAGAAGACCAGTGGGACTATAACATCACTGGACGCTTCAATAATAGATTCGCTGTTATACGATGGAAAGAAATCAACACAGAAACTGCACGTATTCACCAAGGTATTTACCAAGATATCTGATTGATTGGTAATATTGGTGTTGTGTTTTTGAAAATGAGAATCTTGTGGTACGGAAACCATAATTGGAAAAAAAAAACAGGCTTCTTACTGTCAGGCAATATTGTTCTTATAATGCTCATGACAAGTCCTTTGTTAATTTGCTTTCTCTACTTCAGTTCAGAAGGAACTCAGCCAGGCGCTAGACGTGATGCTTTTTACGACAAGCTTGTGTGAACAGACAATTCTACTGGACACCACCATTCCTCCTGGTTACAACTACTCTTGTCTGTCCTCAGTGAGAAGGTCTAGCTATTCACCAGATAGAAGGATGTGTTCCTCGTCCTATCCACCAGGATCAGACCTACCAACATCCATCCAATCTATCAGCTACTGTCTGTACCATCGTCATTCTGATAAAAACATCAATATTATTGTCTCAGTGGTTCAACATCTTCAGTGGAAAAATCTCATCATTCTCTATTCTAATTATACTGGTAAGTATAACGTATAATTGCTAATATAATGCTCACCCGCTTTATATTCTAATCATTTAGGTTGGTTATCAATTACTTTCTTATTATGATTGATAGATAATATGAATAGTGCATTTTCTGCTACCAGTCAGTATAATGTATAATTGCTAATATAATGCGCAAGTTTGAATTACGCACCCGCTTCATATACTTATCTGGGTCCTAATTCTTGAAACGTAACTTAAGATTTATTAAGTGTTTCAGTCATCTGATTGGTCAATTACTAAAATTGATTTTAAATTTAGTTTTATTATCCAAACAGATTGCTGTATTTCTTAAAATACTGATTTTGTTTATGTTAAATTTTGGAGAATTAGGCCCCTGGTTATTTTTCAACTTATCAATGTTTTGCCAATATTTTATTTTAGATTTCTGGTTCGAATCGTTAGTATTTTTCGTTGTTTCGACAAATTACATTTAGAAACATGATGATTTTCCATCCCCAGTAATGCCTGATACAATACTGTACACTATTACTTCAAATATATAGTCATATTGATATCAGTTATATTTCAGCTCATATATCAGTCTGAAACAGTTCACTGTAATGGAAGGTCTTGTTTCGTTTCCGGACATGTCCCTGGTCTTTGTCACCTGATCATTAATAGGCTGTTATTTACAGTGTGTCAAACGTATCTCATTGTATCTGTCTAGAAGAGTTCGTTAGACAATGATTCAGCTGATATGGTATAATGTTTAAATGTTATTTAGAAGTAGATAGAACATTAAATAAATTATGATTCAGACGACCATGATGTATAAATTGTCCACAGTTGCCAATGGAGTTCCCAGTTTGGAAATTAGGTCCACAATAATATCTGCATAATTCTGAATATAATACGCAATGGATATAATGCGCACCTTCTTTGTCCAGAGTAAATAAGTAAAAAGATCATTGACTTAGATAAAGATGAAGAATAATGCGTATAAGTATATATCAAGTTTACCTTTCTTAATGCATGCCCACTCCATCTCTGACACCATGTTGCCCCATTTTATATTTCAGAGCTGCAGAGTAAAAAGGATCTCATGGTTTCGCTCTACTTTACACTCTAGACTGTTTTATATTACAGAGCTGCAGAGTACAATGGTTACAGAGAAAATAGGATCTCATGGTCTCGCTCTACTTTACACTCTAGACTGTTTTATATTACAGAGCTTCGGAGTACAATGGTAACAGAGAAAATAGGATCTCGCCGCCTCTCTTATTTACACTCTAGACTGTTTTATATTACAGAGCTGCAGAGTAAAATGGTTACAGAGAAAATAGGATCTCATGGTCTCGCTCTACTTTACACTCTAGACTGTTTTATATTACAGAGCTTCGGAGTACAATGGTAACAGAGAAAATAGGATCTCGCCGCCTCTCTTATTTACACTCTAGACTGTTTTATATTACAGAGCTTCAGAGTAAAATGGTAACAGAGAAAATAGGAGATGGTATCATTCTAACTATGTATAATTTAGATCATCTTCAAAATAAAACTCTACACTATACTTTCCTTTTTAATAAAATATATCATAAAACAACGTATGAAGAACGTAATATATTAGTTATATGTTCTCAGGATTGTATCAACAATGTTTTAATACAGGTAAGCCATATCAATGTTAAGCTATAACGAACTGCGTCAGATACCTTGACATCAATAGGCCCCTTTTTTGTATCTAAAGTTATTTTATTTAGCAGTTCGATTGGGTTGGATGCTAGCGAATAAAGCCAATTAGAACCATCGACAGAAAGGCTGTAAACAATAATAACTATACTTAGCCATAATCTTTCGTGTCCTGTCCAAGCTTTATGTCGACTTTGTGACATTTCGATATTTTTATTTTGTTTTTTTACAGTCTGATGCTTATGACAAGAGAAACAGTGGAGCTACAGCTATGGGTGTCTTCTCTAAATGGTTGGTTGTAGATTTTAACAGTAGAACAATACTCAATAATCCCTGTGATCTAAAAATAGATAATGTCGCTGTCATCAACTTTCCTTTTACTGAAGATGATTCAGCATATTTGAGAACGGTGAGTGATAGTAAATACATAAATATCCGAGTATAATGTACGACGTTTTTGATAATAAAAGTTTTGAATGTCCCTTTAAGTTGGAGAAGTCTCGACCATGATTCATGAACTGTTTAAAACATTTTACAATGTTCTACTCCAAAGCTAAGTACAACTGTTTATGAGGCCCCTCTGGTATTTTCTGGTATCCATAGGGGGCATTGGTAGTCTAAGAACCAGAGAGTTCGAGTTCCCCACCCACGACTCAGTCGAGACCCGTAGCTACAAGGTCATCCTCCCCTGATTAATCATGTCTATACGGACCTGTGCATTTCAGGATTTATGACGATTTGTGTTTTTTTTCAGAATTTTATTAGAAGTTTTAGATCATCTATAAATAGTATTGCTGATGTTCATTCTGATCTAAAAGGAGAGAATTTGACCAGATTGATTTACGATTCTCTTAAAGGTGTAAGTAAAATATATTTTAGGATTCCAGAGAGTCTCAAATCGGACCTGGTTGTGTTAGGATACGTGTTTTCAAGACATTAGAGGATACATTTTGTTGTATCTCAAATAGATTTTGGGTATTGATTGGAGAGCGAAAAGGAACCAGTCTCAGTTGCGTTTCTAGGGGACTACAACTAATAACGGACACACTGTGGTAAATCATTTGCCATCTGTTACCATGTTAAATCTCAAAATTCAACCATCAATAACTTTTTCCGGAAATCTCGTTGAAAATGTCTCAGAAAAGAAGCTGGCCCAGTTTTGGACCCCAACTTTCATATTTTTTTCATCAATTTACATAGTGAAAGAATGACCTGTGACCCCCCTGGAAAATTTTGTGGCCCCTGCTCGCCCCCCTCACCTGATGTTTCCTAGAATTGCCACTTACGAATCTTATATTGTTTCTACACTCTTTGAGTTCCGAATGCTTGTCAACATCTTTATTAGAGCTTGATAGTGTATTGCACAAAGATATAGCATTATTTTACTCCATTAAATACTAAGGTTGGCTGGGCACCTCTTTAAATGATATCTGGATATAGAGGTGTTTTTGGATGCTGAAAAAAAGGTCACGTGTAAGGTCATCGGTGTGAACTGAATCCAACACTATTCCTTAACTTCCTCGATCTTCCTCTAAAATACAGAGCTCAGATGGAGGATGTGTGGTGTAGGTGCTGATCACTGTGGATCACTCTTTATTTTATAATGTTATGTAAGCTTATATAATGTAAGTTACGTCCCTTGAACTTTTGAAAATCATCAGTTAAGTCTCTATTCGTTTGTACGTTCCTTTTTGTAACGTGTTTGTTGTGTATGTTAAGCAGGATGTAGCGCTAGGCGGGGTATGCTTACTGATCTAGACACCTGATATCACTTTTCATTATGAAATACTTGCTCATTTATGATTAATATACTGAAAAATTCAATAGCTGCTACCAATGTTTCGCCAATATGTTGTTGGGATTTCGGGATTTTCTCAGAGGTAAGTAATAAATAAGAAAGCTCTTAAACTACCTATCCTTTTACAGGAATTAACCACATTGACTGATTGTTGGAAAGCGGAAATTTACACGTTATTATGGAAACCAGGAGGTCGTCTGCTCAGCCCAGTTGGTCATGTTAATTTTGCTGAAAAGGTCAAGCTATTTCGAGACGTGTCGATATTTCCAAACACTAAATTTGGCTTCAATAAACGAGTTTTTCTCACCACCACTAATGAGGTATAATATTTTTTTGAGATACTTCTCTTCTAACATGTCAATATGAAGATTACTAATTAGATATATATTTTGGACACTGATGTAAACTTTATAAAGTTGACACACAAAGTTACCATCAACAAGGCTTCACAGAGAGATTCTTTTGAGTTAATATAAATCTGTTCAGGCAAAAAGGGACAGAAGATTCGCCTATTTGGGATAACCCCATTCTGTTTGCACAACTCCTTATTTGGTAATTTTGGTTGCTGTATAGACAATAAAGCTAACAAATTAAATCCTTAAAATTTGGAAAAATCATATCTTGGTTTGTGGTGATATCAAATAAACGAGAAGGGTTGACGATTTTCATAGACGATTGATATTTGTCGATCACGGTTCAATGTATCTTTTTTGCATTTCATTTTACAGTGGCAGCCATTTATGAGAAGAATTGGAAAAGTGAATGGAACTCAGCAATACGAGGGGTATGGTCTGGACATCTTGGAAGTTTTAGCCATGGCACTAAATTTCAGGCAAGTTAAAATTCGAACGAGTCGTATCTTTATGTATATTAACATTCGCAGGATGAGCAGGACAATTTTGAATCATCTGTTTAAGAACCAACAATAATGAACGAATAGCCTGTGGAGAATTGTGTGGCCCCTGCCCGGTTCCTTAACCTCATGTTTCCTTGAAATACAACCGAGCAACAGGTATTACAGGAACTTGCTTTACTAGCTGATAACGCTCAAATTCGGGTTTCCGTCAAAATCACAAAGAAGAGACTTAACACTGGACCATTCTTATAATTTCTGACAGAATAGTTTATTATCATCTGTAAGGTATGAGCTGTTGTCAGGTATGAGCTGTTATCTGCAAGGGAGACAGGTGTGAGCTGTTAACAGATCAGGTATGAGCTGTTATCTGTTGCCTCTTCATCCGAGAAGTTTTCACTGACTTAAATAGCTGGTAATCTGATTTACACATTTTGATTCCAGTTATATATTTACTGAACCAGAAGATGGAGAATGGGGTCGAATATTGAACGGGTCTTGGACTGGTGTGGTAGGTCAGCTCAATAGACGGGTAGGTAATATTTTTGAAGACTATTTACTTATATTCAAGACTCATATCAGCCCCCGAAAATGGTGCACCTGTGCCTTTTAATGCTGATTATGAGTCCAGATAAAACACTCTGCCCTGTATATCGCAACCTTAAGCTCGGTTTGTTTAGAGGATGGTGAATGGTACCTTATCGTAATCATGATACAACACAAAAATAACTTTTGTTTCTTTTCATCTGTCCCGAAAAGATGTCCATTAACCAACCCCTCCCACATGTCGCTTACTAACAGGCAAATGGTATTTTTTCTTTGCAGGAGGTAGATCTATTTGCCGGAAGTCTGGCAATATCATCCGGTAGAGAAGACGCTTGTGATTTTACATTTCCTTACTTCCACGTCTACTCTTGCGTCATCTTCCGCACGCCGGACCCTAACAAAACAAAATGGCGAAAGTTGATAGATCCTCTGTCATGGGAGGTCCACGTGTCGGTATTAGCGTCCTTTATTTCCATCATAGCATTGCTGTATATTATAGAAAGACTGAATCCATTTTACCAACATTCTGTGAAAAGAAGACCAACATTTCAGGGTCTTTCGTTGTATCTGTTTGGTGCTCTCCTCACTCAAGGTAAGACATTAGCTGCCTTGTTATTTGACAATCCCGAATCGCTTCTGAAACATCTGATTGGTCAATCACTAAATTATATTTTTTGAATCGGATTACTGTTTTCCTCAAATGTGGATTAACTCGGTTATACTGTGAATGAATGGCGATAAATTGTTGGGTAGCTAGCAGATATGATTGTAACCACCACTGAAGAATATGCATACTACACGATTGATAGATATAGCACAAAAAACTTATAAACGTTATGTGAACTCTCTAAGAGGTAAACCGAGTTGACAAATTCCATTGCAGAGATATGGAGTATTCTTGCTGAGTTCGCATTCAAAAGGGATTGGTATCCGCCACAATATCAACTAACAACAATAACAACTATGAATCATTTGAATCTTTTAATTTTCTTTACAGGAGGTTCATCCATGCCATCATCAACGGCTGGACGATCGTTACTAGCAGCGTGGTGGATCTTTTGTTTGATAACCGTAGCTACATACAGTGGGAACCTGATAGCCTTTTTGACCGTGTCTAAAGAGAGGATGCCGTTTGAAACACTAACAGGATTGGGCAACCAGCGAGAGTATGAGTGGGGAACTTTAGGAGGAAGTTTGTGGGTTTCACTTATTAATGTGAGTCAAAGTCAATTACAATAGTGGGAAAGATCAATATCCATTCGGCAATCATCGGTTATTCTGTAAAGCGTAAAGTTGCAGAGCGCTAACAGAAACTTCACGGTAGGCCGTTTGATCAATACCAAGAGGTTGGACCAGGGATCAGCTGGTAGAAATGTTCCTCGTAAGTCGAATTTGTTACCTTTGATGACATGGTCGTTTAATTTTTCTAAAGCTAATGGATCGGACACGTTTGGTAAAATGAACATGGGAAATAAATTTTTCTTATCAAATCAAGACATAAGACATTCCTATTTTTTTTTAATGCCTTAGCCAGATAAAGGCACCAGATAGTATTTTAAAATTAAAACGTTCTGCTTTCAGTAGGATTGTCAGACCTTAGGACTAAATAAAGGGGTGAATAAACGAGCTTGGTTATACCGAGCCATACTAATTATAGCCCGTAATTCATTTACAGGAATCCAATTTAACAGTTTTTAGGAATTTATGGAATGGAATGGTCGATTTTAATCAAACAGATGAAGAGATATTCCACCTGGATCAACAGCTACACAGACGGAAAGTTGAGAACGAAGACTATGGTTTTATAGCGGATAAATCGACGGCCGAGGCCTGGGTGTCTGAGAACTGCCAACTAACGTATCTCAAAGAGCTGTTTTTTCCTATGAATTACGCCTTCGCTCTTCAGAACCATTCGCCATATTTAGAATACTTCAACGATGAGTAAGCTATCTATGTTTTTCTCTGAAGTTATCATGTGTTGTACTATGGAACCTAAACGAAACATACAATGGCCCAATAATGACAACAGGCCTGCACTTCATGGGTTTGATTGTAATGCAAATCATATAGGGTTGAGCAGGTGTAATATTGAGGTCATGTTCGTGGGAATCCCGGTTCTCTCCTAAACTCTGAAGAATTTATACCACATCCGGCCGTCAGAAACTCGATTGAATTGAGATGTGTCGCTCTGCACTAACTAGGCTAATTAACACAATGCCATGGAGTGAGCAATGAAGGACATTTTGAGTGGTCAGGTGCATTAAACTACTCTTGTTCTCTTGTAGTCTGCTAGTAGCTGTACTTTGCTCACTCCAGCCCCTCTTTCAGCACTGTCACTGCGAAAGGCGTGGTTTTGAAAATAGAGCAATAAGACCTACAAAGTGTAAAAATGATAATATTTATATAGATATAATAGAACTGTTTATTTCAACTTTCACAATATTATTTTTTAGGATGATGAAAATATATGAAAGTGGATTAACGCAGACTCTTAAACGAAAATGGTTCCCAAAACAGAATAAATGTTTGGACCAGACGACAAGTGCCAAGGCTATAGAACTGTTAGATATTCAGAGTGCGTTCTACGTGATAGGAATAGGGATTGTTATAGCCTGTATGGTAATGCTGGTTGAAAGATGTTTTGTGAAAAATGAAAAGGGGTCAAGTTTAAAATATCAGTTTATTCGAACCTTATTTAAAAGATAAAGCGATTCAATTCTTCTTCAGTGATTTTGTACGCGTGTGAACATTTGTGTTTGTATTGTGATTTGGAACGATCTGAGACGTTTGTATTGCGACTTGGATAGACCTTTGACGTTTGTGTTGCGACTTGGATAGACCTTGGATGTTTGTATTGCGACTTCGATAGACCTTGGATGTTTGTATTGCGAATTGGATAGACCTTGGACGTTTGTTTTGCGACTTGGGTAGACCTTGGATGTTTGTATTGCGACATGGATAGACCTTGGATGTTTGTATTGCGACTTGGGTAGACCTTGGATGTTTGTATTGCGACTTGGATAGAGCTTGAACGTTTGTATTGCGACTTGGATAGACCTTGGACGTTTGTATTGCGACTTAGATAGACCTTGGACGTTTGTATTACGACTTGATAGGCCTGAGACGTTTGCATTGCGTCTCAGATAAACCTGAGATGTTTGTATTGCGACTTGGATAGACCTTGGACGTTTGTATTGCGACTTGGATAGACCTTGAACGTTTGTATTGCGACTTGGATAGACCTTGCACGTTTGTATTGTGCATTGGATAGGCCTAAGACGTTTGTATTGCGATTTGGATAGATGTGAGACGTTTGTATTGTGACCTTTATAGACCTAAGACGTTTGTATTGCAACTCGGACATAGTTCGTGTACAACTAGTTGAGGTACAACTAGTTGAGTGGGGGTCCGTGGATTTAAGTGGACCTTGTTTTTTTTTTAACATGATATGGTCCCCTAATTTCTTTTCTTAGCGTTGGGGCCGGGCCTATTGACTTGGTTCAACCAGCCCCTTTTGTAGTTGAGCTACTAGTGAAAGTGGAACAACAGAACTCTAGGAGAGAGCTTGTCAGGAAATGTAGACCAGCTGGTTGATTTTCAATCTTTGTTCGGAAAGATTTTGCTATGGATTTAACACTGACTTATATACTGTCATTCCCAAAATTCCGAGTACCTGCAGAACAAATTTTTTTTCTGCGCCTTTTGGAAAGAGGGAGATACGTTCATGCGATACTTTCTTACTAACAAGAAATGGTAGCCTTTTGTGGATTCAACCATATTTCAGACAATAATTTGCTTAATGAAAAAAATGAGTTTTATGTCCTACTTTTCTGCAACTAATGGGCCAATGACAACTGGCAAAGTCATGTATGCAATGAGAAAAATTAGTCGAAGGATCTTAAACGTGTACAGCCTGTAGCACACGGGTCCTATGTTTGTTATTTCATCCGAACTTCATTATGTATGTTTTTTTCTATGTTAAAAGATCTGTCAAACCATAATGGAACTGTCTTCAGATTGTCACGCTATTGCCACTTTTGATTTATACTTTGACTACAATATTATATCATGGTATGCAGCAATTTGATTGGATTGTATGCCAGCGAATACAACCAATCAGAGGCCTTGACAAAAAGACTGCAATCATTATGGCTTAGTGTTTACAGACCTTTTGTCGAGGCCTCTGATAGGTTGTAATTGCTGGCGTACAATCCAATTAAATCGCCTCAATTACAAACTTCCATGATACAGAAAAGGTGGCTATTGGAGTCAAGGTATAAGCCAAAGTTCCTAATAGCTTGATATTGTGATAGAACATGAACAATAATAATTGAATCGTTACTTTTTTGTTAAATTTTTGAAGTTTGTGTATTTCTCTGTATCAATTTGTAAAATAAGTGAAGAAGCTTTTATTTTGATAAGTAAATGTGGTTGTTGCTGAATATTGTTTTATTTCTAGATATTTCTATCTTTGTCTATATTACTCTGTGTGCTGGGGTCATTATGATTTCGTTAACAGTCAGTTTTCGGAAACTTTTGCAATAGAAGTCCCCACCATTGGCGTTTCAACATAACACCTGTATGTATGTACATATACAATCCAACCCACCTGGCCCTTCCGTAGAAACTTTTGATAGAACTCCCCACCATTGGTGTTTTTTTTTTATGGAAATGGGCACAGGACTAGGGGACATGAAATCCTCCTCCTGCATCTCTTGACGTCTCAAAGAAGCCGCGAAAGTGCCATTTTCGTATGTATGTGCATGTTTTGTTATGATTGGCTATATTTACTTGTACAATCTGTACAATCCAGTAAAATCGCTTCATTTACAAACGTCAGTGATACAAGAAAAGTGGCTATTACAGTCAAGGTATAAGAAGTAGTTTGGTATTGTGAAGGGTAGGTTATACCAGCTTCTCGTATCAGGGTTGGTGAGTCGTTTACAATCACATACAGCGAAACCCCTGCAAACTGTACCCTCTGTAAACAGACATATTAGAAACACGTATTCCACAGTAAAAATCTCTCAACCAGCACTTCCCATTTTTTCAGTGGTATGCTAGATTTGGCAGGTTTCGCTGTATAGATAAAGAATGATTCCTACATAATGGATTATAATGTTCACGAGAGGATTTTAAAATCGGTTGCTAAGGTAAGCAGTACGCGTCATCGATTAAACGAGATGTATATTGTCTAGTAGTAAAGGAAACGATGGAGGAGTATGGAACAGCCTGATTATGTTCCATACGGAATAAGTCAATGGATTGGGCATCTGAACCAATGAGGTGTGTTTATTGAGAATGGGGTTCTGTACAGGAGGGACAACTGACAGAATGACAAGATGAAGTTTATCATGTAAGTTAATTCATCAAATAAGAGAGGTCTGACATCGTCTGAATGGTGAAAGTAATCGATGATATTAACGTGGAATTAACCTTTACCTCGTTTAGTTAAACATACTTATTATATAGTGTTTCTAAATATAGGAATTATGTAAAAGATTTGTACGACATTTAGAGATAAAGAGTACATTATAACAAACAAAAGGGAATATATTTAAGTAATATATTGTTACCCTGTAGAGATTATGTATAATGTATGTCAGGACAAAGGTCGGCTAGAAAATAAATGTGTGTTATTATGGTATAACACACTTCTTTAATAACAATTCTGTAGATATCACATTAAGGGTGAACATTTAAAACAACACAAACGCAGTCCGGAAAACAGTCTTTATATAAACATCCGTACAACACTCGAGACAGACTCAGTCATTTAAAGGAGCATATCCTATAAATTTCGATTTAAAAATCCTGTAATGAAATGGAACGTAATATATACTGCCGAATGTTTTTGTTGGTGAAGCTATTTTTCTGCGTGAATCAGATAATTACAGCTGTAGAGGGCGAACAGTTGCTCGGAAGCTGACAGATCTGTGATAATGAAAGTCAAGGATGGTTTTGCGTTGATTAAAATTACAGAGAGTGTTGCTTTAAGTTTTTAGCTTGTGATGGGTCTTAATTTGTAGATGATAATGATTTAACCTCGGTGTCTGTTTTGAAAGATGGTTCGGATATATGACGTCGACAGTTCTATCAACAATGGTACTACCTTTCAGGTAAGAGTTCTTGTTCAAGCTACTGAACCGTGGTGGCTCAGCGACGCTTGCTTTCTATCCTGAAAGTACAGGGTTCAACCCCGGTATAAGGGTTTTTCAACCTGGTTTCTTCCTGTCAGTGATCCAGGAGATGACATATAACAAGCGTGAAGTATAATGACGTAGGCTGTCGGCAAGGATCAGCAGGTGGCCAGAATCCTTTTAGACGTAAAATTTATCATTGTAAGTAATACATTAATATTTAGTCATATCCCCATTTATTTGATGTCCGTTATGATAGTCTAAGTTGATATTTCATTTCAGAATTTTACAATCAACCAAGAGACATCAGACAGCAATGATAATTATATTAAATTACCTGCCACACTGTGTGTATCGGTATCTCTGGTTATACTATTCGTCCTGATTACAACTATTGGTTTTATCAGGTGAGGCGTTTTCCATCATAATCTATCTCATCTTAATTTGTGAAAACTCAAAAAGCTAAAATGAAATGGAGTTTTACCTCGTACTTTTCTATGCTTGTATGGCTATGCCATAGAGTGTTCAATGACGGAGATTTTGACAGAATAGTCGCATTAGACTTATCTATTTTAATTTCCAACCATCTTTAAAGGGATCTGTAACGTCAACAGCCTATGGCACGTCAGTTTATTGTCCCATCGTTTCTGGTATGTTAAACGAAACGGATGCTTCACAATTGAAAGGGCAAGGCAGAGAACACTTTTCATCAGATTTAAGATAGGGTGATCCAGTGTGACGAAATGACCCAAAGATAAGACATTACGTTACTTACATCGACATGGAAGGATATTGTGCTAGCGTTTTAATATTCTTACTAGACTCATCACAAAGTGTGCAATGGGACTATTTTTCCCAGGGAGAAGAGATCACGTCGCGTCGTGTCCAATAACCCCGTCACACAGAACAGGCGTCCATAATACGCTTTCATCAGATTTAAGATATTTATATATGGCCCAATGGCGCAAAATTGTTCAAAATCATGCTTTTTAACTTCAGTAAACTGCGAAATGGAAGACCACAACGTCAGATGGTGAAGTTTATTTTCCTCAGTGAGACGGTTTCAGTTTTTACGACTCTATTCATTTTCTTGGTCGTTCATCTCGTCATAGATAGAACCGGATGTTTCGTAGTCTCCATCTTTTTACACTACTTAATATTGGTGACGATTATGTGGGGAAGTGTAGATGTTTTAGGCTGTTACTTTGTCTACGTCAAACTACTTGGTCTAGATTTTCTGGGATATCGATGGAAAATGCTGGCTAGTAGTTTAGGTAAGGAGATTCTTTTAGTTTATGAATTATAAGATGGAGGAAGAAGTGGTAAGCAGTAGTCAAGGGTCACAGAACTATCAAGAGGGGCTCACACTGGGCAAATCAAATAAGAAATTTGAAAACGCAGAGGATGAGAGGAAGGGGGGGGGGGGGTGGTTTCAAAGCTCTGCCAGTGTTTTATAATATCTTCATCTGTATATTTCAGTCGTACCTTTAATACCAATAATCATAATAATCTCAATAGACGTGGAGACCTATAGTATCACCAACTCACATAGGTAAGGACTTGAACGATTCTTCTACAGTTTGGAAATCGAAAACAAATTAAAAGAAAGCTAATGCAAAATTCATCCCATTTTATACTGTGTGGCGCTGCTGATCCTCCTTGGCTGAATTTGGTGCACAATAGTAGGACGTAATACTCCATTCATTTCATTTATTTCAGATGCTGGTACAATGATTATGTGGTTTATTATGGGTTGATTTTACCGAGTGCTATAGTAACTATCGTGGCTACTGTTATATTTACTGTAATACTAGTTCATACTATTAGATCTTCATCAAATACTACTCAGGGACATAGAACTCGCAAGCGAATAATCAGGCGGGTTTGCAAAGTGTTCGGCAGCTTGGTGTTGATTGGTACGTATTATGATAATATATCTAAAACAAGTTAGGCAGGCGAGAGGAACTCTGTGTTATAATCAAACCTGAACATCAAATAAACAATGTCTTTACGAAAGGCGGTTACCTCAATCTACTCGCTGTTTGTTAATCTACAATATTAGTGGTCTAGGTCTAATAAGGGGAAGTAAGCAATAAGTAACTTCTTGTTCACTTCCGGGTTAATCGTTTTATGTTATTGTATTATTAAAACCATTCTTCATCAGTATTTGTGCTTCAATGGTATTGAGATTGAAAAGGAGTAGGCCTAGGACCCACCCAAGTTACAAATAGACGTTGCCCTTTCGAGATCGACTCCATTTGTGGCATTATGAAGACACCACTAATTTGCCGAGTCCAAATATAAGAATATCAAGCCTCAAAGTTATTCATTTGTTTTTATTATTTCAGTGTCAACATGGATATTCTCTCATTTGGTCCAGTCAAGTCATCACAGTGTGTTATTCTATTATTTATTCTGTGTTACTTCCCTTGGCTACAGTTGTCTTATGTTTAGACGTTCTCTAGATAAACTCAGCATGGCGTACTGGAAATCTGTGATACATAGAAACAATCAGGGTGATCCAGTGTGACGAAATTACCCAAAGATAAGACATTACCGTACTTACATCGACATGGAAGGATATTGTACTAGCGTGTTAATATTCTTACTAGACTCATCACAAGGTGTGCAATGGGACTATTTTTCCCAGGGAGAAGAGATCACGTCGCGTCACAGTGTCCAATAACCCCGTCACACAGAACAGGCGTCCATACTGCGCTTTACGGCTACGGAAAATTGACTTTTAAACGCGTTTTAAGATAGCTAGCTTGATATTAAATAAACGAATTAAATTTGCTCGCAGTGCCACGGTGCCGCATGGCGAAGACAATGTTCACAATCACCATCTTTATTAAATTAAATCTTCATCTTTAAGACAATTCCATAATAACTGATATTTCGATTTGTTGTCTTTCACCGTTTTAACAAGAATTCGTTCAACCAGCATCACCATACAGGCTATAACAATCCCTATACCTATCACATAGAACGCACTCTGAATATCTAACAGCTCTATAGCCTTAGCTGAATTATGTCCTAAACATTTGTTCTGTTTAGGAAACCATTTTCGTTTTAAAGTTTGTGCCAACCCACTTTCAGAAAGCTTCATCATCCTGAAAGTTAAAAAATGGCATGTTGTTTGAAAAAGTCGTTCAACAGGATATCCAGCAGTTTACAAATACGTAAGGCAACTGATTATGTAATTAAACAGGAAAGAAGATCAGAATTGGTTTAATTATAAGATCGACCGCGGCTACTTGAGAAATACCCTAGTTGCTTATCAGTTTATAGAGGTCAATATCAGCTATCTATAACACTCTTCAGATCTATAATTCGACGCCAGGTTTACTTACAATACAATACAACCCGTGAATCGTGGGGCTTATCACGTGGTAAAACAATTATCTAGAAAATAGAAATCTAGTGGTCTAGGTCACTTCATCTCCACAATGCTTTGACTGCAATAGCCACTATTCTTGTATCACGGATTGCAGTGATTCGATTTGATAGTGCGCCAGCAAATACAGCCAATCAGAGCCCTCGACAAAAAAGTAAGGCTTTTAGCATTATGGCTTTGGGTTCTCAGACTTTCTGTCGAGGCCTCTGTCTGTATTTGCCATCAATCAGTTCATTTATAAACTTCCGTGATACAAGAAAGGTGGCTATTGCATTCAAGGTACTAGACGAAGATCGTTATAGCTTGACACTGTGAAGATTTTATTCACCATGTACTTACTCGTCGTTGAAAGATTCTAAATAAGGAGAATTATCCTGAAGAGCGAAGGCGTAATTCATTGGTAGAAACAGTTCCTTAAGATAAGTTAAACCACAATTTTCCCAAACCCAGGCCTCGGCGGTTGTCTTATCAGCTATGAATCCATAGTCTTCATTTTCAACCTTCCTTTTATGAAGAAGTTGATCTAAGCTAAAGACATCAGGATCGGAATGGTTAAATTCTTTTAAACCGTTCCATAGATCTTTAAACACTGTTAAATTAGAATCCTGAAAACCAGAACAGAATTAGTCAAATCAGTCAAAGAGTTGAAACAAACAGGATGTCGTGCAGTAATAGGAAGTAGGTGTTACAAGAGTATCTGTACTGTCCTTAATGCGAGAGCCTTGCAGCGGGTTGTAGTTGGTGAAAGCTTTGAAACGTGGTTGTTGGTTCTAATAAGTTATATTTCCTGATAATTCCAGTCAACCCAGCTGTAAATGGGTACGATTAAACTTGGAAAAGAAGTTTGGCCAAGAGGTATCACCATGGACCAGCTGTTTTCCGAAGTTGTTCTCCTTGTGAAATAAAGTAGTAGTAGTTGCTTCTTTCTTTTCTTACCTTCACTAAAGAAACCCAGATACTTCCTCCCAATGTGCCCCATTTATATTCCCGTTGGTTGCCCAGTTCCGCCAGAGTTTCAAACGGCATAGGCTGTCTTGAGACGGTTAGGAAAGCTATCAGGTTCCCACTGTATGTAGCTACGGTTATCAAACAAAAGATCCACCACGCTGCTAGTAACGATCGTCCAGCCGTTGATGATGGCATTGATGAACCACCTGGAAAAGAATTGTAACCATTCCAAACTCCTGTTTTGAACACTGGCAGAGAATGAAATATATTTTTTACATGGCTCTATTGTGCATCATATTGAACTGAACAAATGATGCCATTTTTTATTTGGTAATATACGGATTGTCATAACCTCATGCAACGTTACTAAGTAAGCAATAGAAGGAACCATTTAAGGAAAGATATTCCAACTATATCATATTACCACACGTTTCTTAAAAAATGTCCATCAGATTTGATGATTTATTTTCCCGTCCGAACAGAAATGGACACAGTCTTACCTTGAGAGAGCAGAGCTCCAAACAGATACAAGATTAGTCCTTGAAACGTTGGTCTTCTAGTCACAGAATGTTGGTAGAATGGGTTTAATCTCTCTATAGCGTACAGTAAAATTATAATACCAACAAACGATGAGAGGATACAGACATATACCTGCCAGGTGAGAGGGTCTATCAGCTTCCGCCATTTTCTATTATTGGGGTCCGGCGTGCGGAAGATGACGCAAGAGTACACGTAGAAATAAGGGAAGGTGAAATCACAAGCCTCTTCTCTTGAAGATGATATCGCCAGAGGACCAACAAACAAATCCACCTCCTGTGAAGAGAAAGTAACGTTGGCCAAGGGAATGAAAAGGGGTTAACAAGAGATTTAATCCTACCTATATCCTTTGCTAGATATTTTTTGTAACTAATTGTGACCCATAGGTTTGTTTCTTACTTGAGATAAAAGATAAATAAAACCATTATGATTTTGATTTGTAAAGGAACCTTTCTACAGCTACACCTCTTACAAAGGTATTCGCACTCGTTTACAGATGCGATTCGATTCCATTACTTATTACCTACCCGTCTATACAGCTGACCTACCACACCAGTCCAAGACCCGTTCAATATTCGACCCCATTCTCCATCTTCTGGTTCAGTTAATATATAACTAGAATCAAAATGTTAAAATAAGATCATCAGCAATTAGTTGATTTCATCAAAAGCCAGAAACATTGAAAGCAGAAAACGTTTTCTATTATTCGAACACGTTTGTAAGGATACTAATGACTGCTAGTCTTGGAAGATGCAAAACATTTGGTGAGACACTACGTACATTTTCTGTTGCCAAGTCAAATTCCTAACAGGTTCGAAATGTTTATCTTTGTATCAATTCCTTTTCAAGAGTACCTTATAGCAACAGCCAATGTCTTTCCTTAAAGAGGTGACTCGCTGTCCACCCGTAACCCTTCCGTAACCCTTTCTAAAAGTGTTATTCCCCTTGCTCCCTCATATTTCCTTTTAGCCCTTAACCCTTTCCAAACCATAACCGAAAGTGTTATTCCTTTATCAATCTTTGCTTACCTGAAGTTCAAAGCTGTTGCTAAAACTTCTAGTAGATCTATAACATACCCCTCATAATGATAGGTTCCATTTATTACTGATAGTCGCATCGCGAATGGTTGCCACTGGTAGAAATAAAAAAGAAATATGGGACCTTTTCAAATGAAAATAAACACCAAAAGTCGTCGATCAAACAAGGAAGTAGGTGTGTGAAGAATGTGGATTGAGGTTTATATGAATTTGAGTTATTTTTTGGTAAATATAGTAGACTGTATTTAAAGACGATTATAACTAGATTGTGTTTATGTTTAAAATATGCCGGCATATTCGTCATCTTTCGACATCTTTCGACATCTTTCCGTGAAGTTGAATCTATTTATGCTGAAGAGTATTAACAGTAATGTCATGTTGGAATGGGCACATAATATATTCCTCAACTTTACCTCGTTTATAGTGGTCAGGAAAACTCGCTTATTGAAACCGAGTTTAGTGTTGGGAAAAATAGACACGTCTGGAAATAGGTTGACGTTTTCTGAAAAATCCACGAGTCCAACCTGACTCAGCAGACGACCTCCTGGTTTCCATAGTAACGTGCTAACTTCCGCTTTCCAACAGTCAGTCAGTGTGGTCATTTCCTTCAACAAAAACATTGATACTATTGTACTAAATAAAATCACGATTATGAAGATAGTGAGGCCTTCTCTTTATTTGTTGTCTGAAGAATTAAAATACTTCCAACTGATTATCTGCACCTGTGTAACTCTTTACGTTGGAGGTTAAATTATACTTTGATTACTACAAACTTTCGAATCGCCTTAGCACATCAACTCGTCAATCGTACTACGGCGGCCATTCTTGATACGCCTGACAATAACCTCGTATGCAGCTGGTGGATAAATCGGACTACTTCCTTGCTCCATTGATGACAACCGACTTGTCTCTGACACCGAGACATCTCCTGTCTACGAGGATAGAGTCTTCAAGGGAGATAACTAACATCCTACGAACTATATTTTGTAACGCGGAGGTAACTTCCGCCTAACAATTAAAGAGGATTTTCTTTCAGCTGTATACGAGGTTATTGTCAGGCGAAGCGAGAATGGCCGCAGTAGAGACGATTGATCAACTCGTTTTACATCGATACGATGCTGGCGGCAAATTTCGCTGAAAACTGTTAAATCAAGTTTCTTTTTATTGTTCCTGTTGTTTATCTAATCTATCTGTCTATCAATCTAATTAATGTTCACTTTCCTAACTGTTAATTATTACCTACCATGAGTTCTTGATGCATCAGGTTGGTCAAATTTCCTGGATTCATAGTTTCATCAGTATCTGCTATATCGTTTACCAATGAATTGATACTGACTGCAAAACCCTGAAACATTCACATTGTCCTTGCAATTCATATCTCATACTGGCGACATGTGTTTCAGGTACAAGATACGCATCAGGAGAGTTAGTTTAGTTTTGAACATAGATGCTAACTTTCCAATGTAAAGTTTAAGACGAATGAATTAAGTAAAAGTAAATGAAAGATGTAGTTATCATGATTTTTAATTCACACAGGATCTGAATATCACTCGACAATTCATCTTAAACTGCCGGAAGTAAAGATTCTCGCCCCCAGGCTAATGTACAACTTAATTAACCATTCACTACTGAGACAGATTCAGAAAAGCTCAGAGACAACCGGAAACAGGTATTTACAAACTGTACAAACCTTTCTAGAGTCTACAGCATCATCTTCAGTAAAAGGAAAGTTGATGACAGCGACATTATCTATTTTTAGATCACAGGGATTATTGAGTATTGTTCTACTGTTAAAATCTACAACCAACCATTTCGAGAAGACACCCATAGCTGTAGCTCCACTGTTTCTCTTGTCATATTCATCAACCTGTTAGAAATACAACGGAGTTTTACTCCCTATATCTCCAATTGGATTGATGGTATCCAATTGGCAAGTATGTTTTCTGAACGTCAACAGCTTAACCACTTTGCCAAAGGATCTTAATTGGGCATAACAATTACCATCCGAGCGACAAGACGTTTTTCCATGTCATAGCTTCTCAGACTTGACTGAACAATCCACAAATATCATCTCAACCCACGCCGGATTCTGGTGACATTCAGCAAAGTAATTATTGCATTGAAGCTCAATATGCTCAAAGTGACTAAAATTTTGACGCCAACTGAACAAGCCTGGCACAAAATATTTGCTTTCATTTCGTAATAGCTTAACATTGATATGGCTTACCTGTATTAAAACATTGTTGATACAATCCTGAGAACATATAACTAATATATTACGTTCTTCATACGTTGTTTTATGATATATTTTATTAAAAAGGAAAGTATAGTGTAGAGTTTTATTTTGAAGATGATCTAAATTATACATAGTTAGAATGATACCATCTCCTATTTTCTCTGTTACCATTTTACTCTGCAGTTCTGTAATATAAAACAGTCTAGAGTGTAAAGTAGAGCGAGACCATGAGATCCTATTGTCTCTGTTACCATTTTACTCTGCAGCTCTGTAATATAAAACAGTCTAGAGTGTAAAGTTTAGCGAGACCATGAGATCCTATTGTCTCTGTTACCACTTTACTCCGCAGCTCTGTAATATAAAACAGTCTATAGTGTAAAGTAAAGCGAGACCATGAGATCCTATTGTCTCTGTTACCATTGTACTCCGAAGCTCTGTAATATAAAACAGTCTAGAGTGTAAAGTATGGGGAGACCATGGGATCCTATTGTCTCTGTTACCATTGTACTCCGAAGCTCTGTAATATAAAACAGTCTAGAGTGTAAAGTAGAGCGAGACCATGAGATCCTATTGTCTCTGTTACCATTTTACTCTGCAGCTCTGTAATATAAAACAGTCTAGAGTGTAAAGTTTAGCGAGACCATGAGATCCTATTGTCTCTGTTACCATTGTACTCCGAAGCTCTGTAATATAAAACAGTCTAGAGTGTAAAGTATGGGGAGACCATGGGATCCTATAGTCTCTGTTACCATTGTACTCCGAAGCTCTGTAATATAAAACAATCTAGAGTGTAAAGTATGGCGAGACCATCAGATCCGATTTTCTCTGTTACCATTTTACTCTGCAGCTCTGTAATATAAAACAGTCTAGAGTGTAAAGTAGAGCGAGACCATGAGATCCTATTGTCTCTGTTACCATTGTACTCCGCACCTCTGTAATATAAAACAGTCTAGAGTGTAAAGTAGAGCGAGACCATGAGATCCTATTTTCTCTGTTACCATTTTACTCTGCAGCTCTGTAATATAAAACAGTCTAGAGTGTAAAGTATAGCGAGACCATGAGATCCTATTTACTCTGCAGCTCTGTAATATAAAACAGTCCGGAGTGTAAAGTAAAGCGAGACCATGCGATCCTATTTTCTCTGTTACCATTGTACTCCGAAGCTCTGTAATATAAAACAGTCTAGAGTGTAAAGTATAGCGAGACCATGAGATCATATTGTCTCTGTTACCATTTTACTCTCCAGCTCTGTAATATAAAACAGTCTAGAGTGTAAAGTATGGGGAGACCATGCGATCCTATATTCTCTGTTACCATTGTACTCCGAAGCTCTGTAATATAAAACAGTCTAGAATGTAAATAAGAGAGGTGGCGAGATCCCATTTTCTCTGTTACCATTGTACTCCGCAGCTCTGTAATATAAAACAGTCCAGAGTGTAAAGTAAAGCGAGACCATGAGATCCTATTTTCTCTGTTACCATTGTACTCCGAAGCTCTGTAATATAAAACAGTCTAGAATGTAAATAAGAGAGGCGGTGAGATCCTATTGTCTCTGTTACCATTTTACCCCACAGCTCTGTAATATAAAACAGTCCAGAGTGTAAAGTAAAGCGAGACCATGAGATCCTATTTTCTCTGTTACCATTGTACTCCGAAGCTCTGTAATATAAAACAGTCTAGAATGTAAATAAGAGAGGCGGTGAGATCCTATTGTCTCTGTTACCATTTTACTCCACAGCTCTGTAATATAAAACAGTCTAGTATCTACTTTACTGCAAACTTTCTAGATTGATAAAAATATGAATGAGCTCGATATTAAGACATGCGCGTTATATTCGCAATTATTCGATATTTTTCCTGATTCTGTTCATAAACAGATTATTTTTACTAGCCTGCTTAGAATATTCATTTGTCTTTCATCAGAGAAGGGAGTGCAGATACAGTTCGTTGAAATATTTTTGTTCATAGTAACAATGTGCGCGTTATTTTTACCTACGCGTTATGTTCGCAATCATTCGTTATTTTCAGTCTTGGCCAATTTAACTTACATAGTATGTCTCAAAAAAGGGGGCGTGCTTTTTTCAAACCTGTGCATTATATTAGCAATTATACATTATACTGACTGGTAGCAGAAAATGAACTATTCATATAATCTATCAATCATAATAAGAAAGTAATTGATAACCAACCAATATGATTAGAATATAAAGCGGGTGCTCATTATATTAGCAATTATACGTTATACTTACCAGTATAATTAGAATAGAGAATGATGAGATTTTTCCACTGAAGATGTTGAACTACTGAGACAATAATATTGATGTTTTTATCAGAATGACGATGGTACAGACAGTAGCTGATAGATTGGATGGATGTTGGTGGGTCTGATCCTGGTGGATAGGAAGAGGAACACATCCTTCTATCTGGTGAATAGCTAGACCTTCTCACTGAGGACAGACAGGAGTAGTTGTAACCAGAAGGAATGGCGGTGTCCAGTAGAATTGTCTGTTCACACAAGCTGGTCGTGAAGAAAATGAAATCCTGAGACTGGTTGAATTCGTTTTGGACTGAAACAGAAAATAAGTCAACGATTGATGTTAGATAGGGCCGTAGCGTAATAGAGGTTCATGCCTCACTTTAAAAACGACGACCAGGCGTTAGAAAAGTTGCTTTTCAAGTGTGTATTTTAAATCCACAAAACCCCCGCCGAAATTGAACATGAACTACGCCACGGCCTTGAGAGAATAATGTATTAAACGATAAAAACATAAGTTAGATAAGTGAAAGTACAGCTACACTCAGTCAAGGAAGGCCATGACAGGTAGATCTGACGAAGGGCAGCAGTATTAACGCATGCACCACCATACTGACGCTTCTAGTCCATCTTCCACTGAGTTTTTGTATTGGATAGGGTGAAACAATCCGAGCACCTGCCCATGCAAATAGACCACAGAGCACACAAAGCTCCCTCAAAGTTTACCCAATGTGTGGTGGTGATGTCTCTAGTATTCTGTAGCATTCAACATTCTTTTACTGAGCCATACAATTTGTGACAATAGCTTCTACGGTAATTCAAGATGGCATCAATTATGAATTGTAGAAACCAAGTTATTGGATATCATAATACATCTTAAAAGAATAGTTGAGATGAATAATGTATATATCATACCCTGGTGAATATGATCAGTTTCTGTGTTGATTTCTTTCCATCGTATAACAGCGAATCTATTATTGAAGCGTCCAGTGATGTTATAGTCCCACTGGTCTTCTACAGTATTATTACCTCGTCTTATATCTAGTACCACTGAAAACATAAATTACATTCAGTCTGTGATACCAGCTTTTGCTTCTTGTCATGTACCAACCTACCAACCTACTAACCTGCCAACTACCAACTACCAACTTACCAACTTACCAACTACCAACCTACCAACCTTTCGTGAGAATTTTTTGCAAAATCTAGAAAAGTTTATGCTGGCCTGGATTTCGCCCCCAACTTTCAAATTTATCATTATATTACACAGGGATGAATTGCCTGTGGGTCACCTTGACAATTCGAAGGCTAATACTATCTGGCCCACAGGATAGAAACGCCACTCCACTGTTCCCGCTAAGTGGTGTTCAATATTAACGAGTTGGACGCGGGCGTCAACCAACCTACCAGCAATATCTGTCCAATCTGAAAATGTTTAGCGACAGTAAGTGTTACTGAGTAAAGCCCTGGTTCCTAACGTGGTATGAATTTATTTTGAGAGAGCACCTCACATCATCACATGCTGGAAATGTGGATGAAACAAATTTTTGGGGTAGTGAAGGTCCTGGTGATTGCTCCAGGGGTGTGAAGGTTGGGAACCACTACAGTAAAGAAAAGACTTGAAGATGGTCATCCCTGATTGTAAAGGCAAAGGAATTGACGAATCACTTTTCAACAAGAGTCTTGAATTTCAAACCACGAGAAGTTTAAATAATTCTACTTGTTAAAATTTAATTGTATCATGACTTTGTTGTCTTTTGTTTTATTATATCCACAATAACATATATATATTACAATAAGTCTACCTGTCAAGCTCAATTGTCTTGGTTGTTATGGGTGGGTGGGTGCACGGAATGCTCTGAATCACTGTAGTGATGGACAAAAAACATAAATGAAAAATATATGTGACTCATTAAGGTATATAATATATCGAAAACGAAGTAATTGAGTACTCGCTGAGCCTTGTTGTATGGCTATTTGACATCTATACTGTTGAAGAACAGTCGACCAACGCATGTGAAACAAGGGTTTTGTTTGCTCTGTAGGTAACCGATGTTAGATAATCATCAAGAAATTACATGTGGGCTGCCGTGGTGTTTCTATAAAAAACATTAGGTGGAAGGGCGAGTGGGGGCCAGCTTAATTTCTGGGGGATGGTGGGGTCATGGAAACGCCACTGGTAAGCAGGAACGTCCTTTTTGTATCACTCTCTCCACCCGACATCTATTTGGAAACATAGTTATAATTATCATGGCTTTTTCTACTGCCTTTGGAATCTCGTGAGAATTATACATGAAGTGTATGGCGGCAGTAGTGTTCCTTCAGGGGATGAGATGAGAGTGGTCCGCCTTTGTGACCCACCCAACTCCCACTTTCCAATTGGGTTCATTCAGCACCTAAATGCCTGGTGCTTCGAGCACCCCTTGACAATTCTGTAGCGCCTACTTTCTTCCACCTTCTATGAATGATCTGCACGTGGATGCTGATATAAAAAATGATAGCACTATGAGCTCTTATTCGATATACAAGGAACTGACTTACCAATTTTGATTATGTTTCCTCCTAACTCTGCTATCACTGCAGATAACACTAATAATACGGTTAAATATAACATTTCCGTTTATCTCTCAGAACACTGTCAAATATTTTTGATGATGATGTTCGTCCTTCAATGTCACAAGATTCACTTTTTTTTTAAATTTGTGTTTGCTTCTGTGGACTAAATGATGTGAAATTTCAAATGCCATCGATCAACTTCATCTGACATTTATGATACAAAATGTTTGAAGAAACAGCGCATCATTTATCTGGTGAAAAAAAAAAGAAACACACTTTTACAACAAAAGAGGAGTTATTCTTGTAAAGTATGCGACGTTTCAACATATTACACTATTATCACCATACAGACCATCCCCACTCAAATACACTATATTTCTACAATTTACAGCTCCATATTTGTCATTGAAAAACAGCCCTATAAAGATCCTTAGCATTCTAAACCACTCTGCAATGTTTCAACAATTTACATTCACTCGTCTCCAGATAACATATCTCTCGGTTAGTTTTTGAACGAAATCAATTCCTTAATTGTTTGACTGTATTGTACTTTAACAGTGAATTATAATTATCTCAATGTATAACAATTTTCAATTCATTTATCAATATTTCAAAATTCCTAACTCAGTCCACAAAACCATGAAAACCACAACAACAATCACAGAGCATAAAATATTGGAATTATCGGATAATTCACAACACCTGAATCACAATGTAAACTACGTTTCAACAAGTTACATTGTTAACAGCAGTTATTATAGCATGCTATTCTTGGATAATATACAACACAACGTTTTAATCAATGTTGAGACAATGCTGTCTAAATGCTTACAATAAGAAAGATACTCGAGTGATATGTAGCGATATTTAATGTGCTCTCTCGCTCTCTCGTCTGATCCAATTAATTGATGTATTTTCTATGAACTTTGTTATTATAGCTTAAAGGGATTATAAAGAGATTTTCTATTGTTCTTATATGTATTGTGGATTCGTACTATTCAAATTTTCAATCAGATTTCTGTGCTTGCTGCAATTCCAGTAAAAGTAAGTGTTTGATTACGTCACTAATCCTGAAATACCTTATGTGATACAGACATATTTTGTGGTTAGTGACATCATCAAATTGCAGGACTACAAACGTTTGACTGAAATTGGAATGGTCTCTGTCCCCGATACACATAATTTTTAAAAAAAAAACTCTTTACCAGCGCTTTAAAAGCACGCTTCCAGACGAACAACACACACTCTTAACTACTTTGATCAGTTTAATGCGATCTGAACGTTTATCAGTTACCATAGCGTTTTGAATAAATTAGACAGTGATTTTAAATTATATGTATGATAGCTGCTTATCGTAAATAGATTATGTTTCATCCTTTGTAATTGTGTTTGAATGTACAGAGATGTTTAATTCTTTGTATTGTGAATAAATAAACCTGAACACGAAACGAAACGAATCCAAACAAAATACTGGCAAAACATTGGTAGCAGCTTATGAAATTTTCACATTGAATAGGTGTTGGAATGCTTACATCTTCTTTGAGCACCATTCTCATTTCCTGTCAGATTTCGTTAGCTGTAATGCTTGAAAAGCTGGACAAAATTCATCAACACCCCCATTCGTCATACTTCCTCGGTTAATAAAACCATGTCAAAACCCGTATTCGTGAAACAATGGACACAATTATCACTATCTCAAATGCTATTTGGATGCTAGATCCGAAAATCCCCTTATTTATCTTATTAGCTTTGCGCTGAAACTTAAAGAAAAAAAACGTTTGATTGATGATGTGATGTCCACCGTCCAGATTATAACCTTCAGTTTTATTGGTGTTACTATTAACAGACAATGGTATATCAGTAAAACATTCTCTTGGGTATACGATTCTAATGGCCAGAAACCACTCTCTATTATCTAGATATTATGTTAAATGATATATTCATAATGATGTTAAAGAAATAATGATGATGATAATATTAGCTCTGACTGGTCAAAAACATCTCTATTTATTAACAGTAATTTACATTTTGGCGGTTGCAGAACTTTGGTGTATGAATGAGAGGGGGCGCAAGTTGAGAATAAATTTCTTAAATTTTGAAATAATTCACATTTCGACAAAAACAAAAAGTGTTTTTTTTTTGTATTTTGGGCCTATCACTCCCCCGTCTTGGATCCGTTTCTTCGATTTAAAGTAGACGTACTCCGACGTGCTTCAGTGTGTTTTACCTTAACGTATTCAACCTACTTATTATACGTTGGTATACTCCTGCGTAATCATCAATGTGTGACAGGGCCTTAAAATCATTACCGTTTGGTTGCAATGATGATAGTGGTAATGAGTTTCGAACACAACTGACAACACAGTTACTTGAGAGTTGTGTTCGAAACTTATAACCGGTATTCTTATACGAAATTGATGTTCACTATAGTGTGACAGGGCTTTAAGCAATCCAGCCGAGATCAACAGTCATCAGTATAACAGTTATTAATAGTATACACCAATTACGATACGGTCTGATATTAAGATAAACATCTTTCACTATAACAAGCCAGATTCTTTTATTTTTTAATTTCCTGAAAACTTGCTAAGATTAGCAAATACAGATTATCATGAATAACAAAAAATAAGAGATTGTTATCTGTGTAACGCCTTACTTTTCTTGACTTTTTAACTAATGAACACATAATACAAAGATCTGTTTAGAGTTTTATTGCCTACTTTTCTGTACCTTATTATAATATTGAAATGCCTTGATTGTGAAATGAAATTGAGCAAGCCCAAACTTATGTCCCCTAAAATAGTGAAGTTAAAGTAATATATGATCGAAATTCAAACTCGAGGGAAACTTGCACAAAGCGAGAAAAAAACAATAGTTGATTTACATACAGATGCAAATTGGAAAGACATATCAAATTTGATTTGCAGAGGTGAACATTGCATCTGATTAAAGTGAGTGCAAACTCTATATAAGGTTTCTATTCTTTATTCATTTTTATTCAATCAGTATTTGTGATAAGGTGAGAATATAAAAATAAAATGCTTGTATATCATTTAAGATTTGTTTTATCATTTTGATAAAGAAACAGTTCATGTCAAATTCCGCTGTAACTGTACAATGGTTGTCTATATATAGGTTATCAGGTTTGTTTATACGAGTCCATCATATATACTGAAGATATTATTCTGATAGCTTTATTATCACAATCTTTTGGACGTGGTAACACGGTGGAAAGTGCGTCACACGAAAGCACCGGACTTGGAATCAGGAATATCATTGTCTTGTGTGTTAATGTATGCAAGCAAGTGTTAAACGTTTTAGTGTTAACCCAACTGTTTTTAAGGTGTTAACAAAACTTGTATAAATTTGTTAAAATAAGTGTTCTGCACAGTTGAAACTTTAACCAACATTTTTGTCGGATGCGAAGATGTCGGATGCATCAAGCGACGACGATCCAATCAAAAAACGAGGTTTCTGCACCAAGAAGAGATGCTTAGTCTTGCTTGCGGCTTGTGTGACAATTTCTCTTGCGACTGCTTTAGCTGTAGTACTAGTATCCGACCATTTGAGAGGACATTTTCCACCAGAACAGAAATGGTGGCAGAAGACGATTGTGTATCAGATATATCCCCGATCTTTTCAAGATTCTGACGATGACGGTATTGGAGATTTGAAAGGTATCAGCATCTTTTTGAATTTGTTTTCCAGAAAATTGTGTGTTGCCAATATACATGAAATTAGAGTGTAATTTATTTTTCGTCTCCACTATAATCTGACAGTAATCTTATTGTCCATCACATCCCCGTTCTAATAACGTTATTTATTATCCAATCAAAACGAATCACGTTGGAACCGGTTCTGGATTTCAATGACAAGTTTAATTGGATTTTGCGTTTTCTATAGTCTGTGGACTAGATTTTTTAACAGATTTTATTATATCGTATTTCAGTTGGGTACAGAATATCAGTGCGTATCTTTGTCAAAAGCAGCAAAATTGTAGAACGTAAATCAATCCCATGTTATTTTAGGCCTAATTCTTTTGAGAGTAAAACAACAATACGATGGTCTAAAGGAGAAACCCAATTTCATTCTTACAATATCGGTAAAAGAAATTTAGTTGAACAATAGAACTTGAGACCAATTCCTTCGGAATAATTCCAATCTCTTTTAGCTGAATAAGAGGACGTAAAACTCCATTCCATTCAATATGTTACAGGTATTATATCTCGATTGGACTATTTTAAAGAATTGGGAGTATCTGCTATATGGATTAGCCCTATCTATGAGTCACCCATGAAAGACTTTGGTTACGATATTTCTAACTTCACCAATATTGATAAGATGTTCGGAACATTGGACGATTTCGATGATCTTATTGAAGAATGCCACGACAAGGGTGAGTCTTAAGATTTTTAGAACAGATGGTTGTCTAGCTGAGACGTACAATAGACCAAAATTAACGCGACGTTACGCTACGAAATCGATGCAGTGTGGAACAGGTTTTTGTTTCTTATTATTCCGGTGGTTAAGATGGATACAGACGTAACGTAATGCTGCGAAAGTTGGTTCTCTGGCTCGTTTGTTTTCTTGTTTCGTCGGTGGTTTAGTTGACTTCCTATAGACAGAATATCATCAATGACTCTACGAGAATCGTTGACGTGTGGACTTCCAGCTTGTGAAATAAGATACATGTTTTCTGTTTTCTGTTGTCAGCTAAATCTTATGTATAGTTTGTGGGTAAAGCCTATTCTTGAATCTTATCACCTATAGAATATCACCATACAACGTGCAACTGACTGAGCTAACCTCTGCTATACATAGACGTATTTCTTTAAATTTCACCGACCTTGCTAAGACGTCATAGATCTTACTGGTGGTAGGATTAGCAGAAGTTCTCGTGGATTGAACTTCAACTTTCACTGTCCATTCTGCCGTTTTGATTTCAGGCCTCAGGGTGATCATGGACTTTGTACCCAACCACACCAGTGATCAGCATCCATGGTTCAAAAAGAGTGTAGAAAGAATTGACCCCTATACAGATTATTATATCTGGACAAACTCCACTAGGGAAGATGAGAATGGGAAACCAATCCCCCCAAATAACTGGGTAGGTTGGCTTTTATTAATATTAATTTTATGCTAAATGAATAAGGGCAAATCGTGAGGTATGAAAAGAGAGAAATGTTACCGAGAAGAGCCAGATCTTACTATATTGAACTACTGTTTTGGGAATATTTATTTTAATCCTTTTCTGTGTAATAGTTAGATCATATCAAGTAAAATTGGTTAAGAAGTTGGCAGATCCAAGCGACCTACTACACTTCTTCGCCACCAAATTGTATTTAATAAAATATAATATAAACAGACACTAACTCAGACCAACCCCCGAAACAAACATCTCTTGGGAGGAGTCAACTACTAATATTTTTACTCTTGATTTTGCCATGCTTTGGTCGAGATTTTAATTAACAGAGTTGTATGGATTTTTATTAAACGTCCTGGGTATCCATTAAAATATGTTATTTGACGCTTTCAGCTGAGTATATTTGGAGGTTCAGCCTGGGCCTGGAATGTCGAGCGACAACAGTTTTATTATCATGCTTTCATTAAAGAACAAGTAGATTTAAACTATAATAACCCCGCAGTTAGAGAGGAGATGAAGGTTTGTTAATTTTATTATTATTTTAAAGAATATAAACGTGGTACTGTAGACTGAATATTAGTTTTCTCTGCAGATTAACATCAGTATACATGTAATTTCGATTTTATTTTTCTGTTATTTCTCTCCAGTGCAATCTTACAAGTTTTCTATCACAGTCTCGTTCTAATTACGTTACTTTTAACCAATCAGCGTGTAAATAAGATCTCGTTTCTTGATGAAAAGTTCTATTTAGATTGCTTGACAACAAGACGGTGCTCGAATCTTCTCACGAATTACATATATTTATTATAATAAAATAAAGGTTATTCTAGAGTTCAGATTGTTTGTTGGCGCGCGTCAATAATCCTCGAGCATTTTACAGTTTAATGATGTTACAATCTCGTTTCATCGACCCGTGTGGCTCATAAACGAATATATATATTTCATATATTACTTATAGTACACTACAATTAATTCCATTTATGTATTTCAATAAATTAATGACGGGTGTATAGAGATGAATTAAACCGATTAACCAATGATTGATTCTAAGACTACTCTAATAAGTGATAATTAATGATTTTATTCTTTCAACAAACATTCTAAATTCCATATAAAAGGGGCATTTGGCGCTGTGTCCATCGTGATACAATCATAAAGGACTCCAACTACATAAGGCAAATTAGCCGATGTCTAATGCCGAATTCGATATTCAGTTGACAAAATATGATATACGCTAAACAGAAAAAGTTATATTAAAACATAACTTGAATCATATTATTACTTCGACTTTCACTATATACCACCTTCAGGTTAATATAATATTCGCTAAATATATCTCGCTTATTTGTTATCTATATATGATAAAGGTGGTTACTATTGAAATGACTACCGAAGGCGATGCTATGAAAGACGTAACTGACAAAGAAAAATGGATTTTTGGCTCATACCAAAACTACCCTAGTAACGGCCCTGCCGGCGTCATTGGTATCGATAAATACGAGATTGAACTCTATACTGAACTCTGTATCTATCCTGCAATGCAATCGTTATTTATTTTTAATACTTGGTTTATTTTTATATCTTTATATTCTTCGATTGGAAACGTAAACGGGTACCGGAATTTTCAAAAATCTAATCCTATTTCCGGTTTCCCTTCAACAGAAAAGCTCTCTTCTTTAGAGTGGACTATCAGCACTCCCAGAGTTAGATTACGAGCCAGACAGTCTACCGTGCAGTTCCTGTACAGCTCTGCAACATATTCAGCTTTACGGAAACTGCCTAGAATTTCCGAAAGATAACGAGTGTATCCTATGTTGTGTTATATTTCAGAATGTGGTTAGATTTTGGGCTCAGAAGGGTATCGATGGTTTCAGGGTAGATGCTATTAGCACTTTATTTGAGACAACAAACCTCACTCTAAGCGAGCCGAGAAGTAATGCTAACGACACAAAGCCGGTAAGAGCAGGGCCATAGTCTTTTACAAGTTTATATAGGAAGGGACATGACTCTAGTGCGGATAAATGAGGCTCCACTCTAATGATATTACATAGAGTAATAATATCCAGAAGTAAATCTATATGTACAATGCAAATGTATTTAAAAGGGTTGTTTTTATGGCTATCGGGCCCATTTATGGTTGCGATTTGCATTATACCATTTTTTCTTCAGATGTTAGTGGTTCCTGTAAATATTGAATTATTAACCGTATATGACGTTATTGTTTTGTGTAATCACAAGAACCACAGACATGTGTCTTGAAATAGAGTAAATCTATGTTGTCATTGTCTCCTTTACATTTAAGAAGTGAATAAATCCTCTTGGCAATCTTTTTGAATGACGGAGATCGTATCACTCTGTCTTTCACCCCGACTATTCTATTTGTTCTACTACAGAATGAATGGGAATACCTGGACCATCCATACACCTATAACTATCCTGGAGTTGATGACGTCATTCAGGAATGGCGGAAAGTTTTGGATGAATTTGATGATAGTTCAGAGAGCAAAGACAAGTAAGTGAACATTCATCTGAAAACCGAACGAATCCGTCAGTATCGTATTCAGCATCTTCACAATGTCAAGGAATTACGAGCCTCGTCTTATACCCTGACTGCAAACATAAAGCCTTAATCGATGCATTCCATGACACAAGAAAGGTGACTATTGCAGTCAAGGTATAAGACGCAATTCGTAACAACTTGACATTGTAAAGATGCAGAATGAAATGAAATGGAATCACACATCCTTCCCTTTATACTCCCGATGTGACTGATGAAGAACATGCTGTATGCAAAGAGGGAAATGTCGCCAGAAAATCGGCATTAACTTTCTCTTGTCTGTGTCCAGTTAGACTTCATATAGGGTTTGTTCAGGCAATAAGTCTTTGACACCAAGACCTTTTCCGTCGTCGACAAAGATATTTCGCCGCAGCTGCTATGCGTAGACAAGATTGCCCGAATGATAGAGACTAACAGATCATAAATCATTTTTCAGGTCAAAGTTTATGGTCGTTGAAATTTATATGCCACCTAAAGTTCGAAACAAATTTTATAAAAATGGAGCCGATATGCCATTTAATATGGATCTAGTTGACGGTACAAAACCAGAATGCGATGCTTTATGTATGAAGAAATTAATTGCAGAAGAATACGATACCCTACCTGAGGGCGAATGGCCCAACTTCGTGGTAGGTGTTTCAAATGTTTTTGAAAGAATAGTCTCTACGGTCTTACATTGACATATACGAATTGTAACTTAGCAGCGTTGGTGCTACACAGTTTTATTTTGGGGGTGAAGTGCATGAAACAAACCATCTGACGACTAAAGTAGTAGGTATTGGGTAAATTGGTGGATGTGAAAAACTTTGTCTGCGTTATTCGGAGTTATGGTTGTCTCATTCTTTATGAATAAGAGACCCGATATGTAATACAAAATTTTTGACATTCAATCTATTGTATCTATGTATTATTTAGATGGGCAACCATGATCGTAACAGGATCACCAGTAAACGAGGGAATACCACAGAAGGTAAAAAGTACACCAATGCGTTGAACATGTTGTTGTTAACATTGCGAGGAACTCCGACCACGTACTACGGTGATGAACTGGGCATGGAGGACTTGGATACCATATCGTATAATGATACACAGGATCCCTTTGGATTGAATGTGGGTCCGGTAAGTCTTGGCTTATTATCATCCCTATATCTTTCTAAACGTGAACATCGATTCAAAATTAGACACATTTCTCTCTTATTGCCCTTGATCACAGGATATGGAAGAATATATATAACCCTACCAGTTACTCGAACGTGATTATTGATGAGACTGCAGCACGTTTATGGAAGTTGCTCTTATCCATTTTTGAATCGCTAGTTTTTGGGACAAAAAAATCCGAAATTTTGCGCTAATTTTGGAATCTATACAATATCGAACAATATATAAAACTATCTAGAAATTACCAGATATTCTGCTATGTTAATGTGCATCAAACGATACCACAATACAGTCGAGGGGTAGGCTTTTCCTCTGTAAGTAAAGCGATCAGGTTTGAAAGCTCAGTAGCATGTCGCCACAGCTAACTATATTTTTGATATTGTGCGTCGTCGGCGTATGTTATCTTGTCTGATCTGTATGTTGTAGGAACGGTACCAGAAGTTTTCTAGAGATCCAGAGAGAACTCCAATGCAATGGTCAGATGAACCGGGAGCAGGGTTTACTAATTTTTCTGAACCTTGGTTACCTATTAATGATAATTATAACACAATTAATGTCGAGGTAGTGGTACTTCTGAAATTATCTCCTGAATTCACCACCATTTGATGCTGTGTTGATAAAGTTGGGTCTTGTCTAGCGTTCCGGCACAGCCGATGCTATTTTGAGTCTGCATGGCGTCTGAAATTGCTGTTTAAGCCACAAAGTTTAGTGTTATCCCTTATGGTCATTTTGACATTAAGAATCCAGGTTGTATTCCTTTTAGTATAGTACTTTTCACACACAAGGTAATCCGTTGAGATGCATCTATTTTCGTATATTTAATCCACATAATCAAATGTATATATTCCAAACGAATTACTAGAACTGTAAAAAAGGGATTTTGATTCAATTTAACTCTTTTCAGACTGAGATGAATTCGACTGAAATCACCCAAATCAAAGTTTACCAGAAATTGGCCGAATTAAGGCAGGAACCAAGTTTTTTGTATGGCAGATTAGAATTCTCGTATGTCGATACTGATATGATATCGTACGTCAGGAAGGCCAGTGGCTATCCTTCGTACCTCGTGGTGATTAACGTCGGAACTAAAGAAAGTTCTACAGACTTTAGTAAAGATCCTTATAATCTGAAGGAAGGAACGGTGGTAGTGTCAACAGGGAACATCGATAACACGGACTATGGACTGAATAAAGCTATCAAGTTAAAGAAAGTGGCGCTGAAACCCGCTGAAGGACTGGTGATTAAACTATCTTAGTGATTTAAAATGGGGAATTAAGGCGGTTTATGGCAATTCGACAGTGACTATGTGACTGAAACTTAATGGTAAAGCTTTTTAGTGCTGAAAGTCTAGTGAACAAACTATTTTAGTGATTATATTTTATATATCTAAATATGATTCAGTGTTTGTTTGTAAAACATGGTTTCTATCTAGTTGACAGCGACTATACGACATCAACCTGTTAAGAACTAGCTTAGTGATTTTAATGCAATACATTTTAATTTAATTTCTAGCAATTCTGTAGGGGAGGGTGAGTTCCTGAAATTTAATGATAGATTATCAAGGCGGTGTCGGTGTCTACCAATATTCTGTACTTTAAAACGGAAGACTTCTCACATTTAGAAAAGGAAGTCGACATATACCAAAAATTATATATCAACATCTGTAGTTATTTGAGATGAACGATAAAATCCTTTACGTAATACCAATTATAAATATCTTATGATCTCCAGTAATTGATACTAAAGATGGTTTCTGTTTAATTGGCGGGGGAGATGTTACAGTCTCGAATGGCTTGGTATATGTTATTGAAATGAAACAAACCGGAAATGACGTGTGTAAGATTTTAAGTGTCTCATGAGTCAAAATATTGATTGATTGAACCATAAATGAAGTTCTTAATCAACACACAACAAGTTCAATGTGGAAAACTCCAAAAAGAGGGGCGGGGGGGGGGGGGTTAAAAAAAACCCAGACAGCAACGGAAAACGGCTTTAATCATTCACATGCAAACACATTATCCTTTTTACGCCTTGTAGTGTTTCTAGAAAGAAAGAAGGTAACAACTATATTTTACAATGATAACAAGATAGTTTCACTTGGGATCCTTTCTTATACCAGTTAGTCCTTGGCCAGATCTCTTGATCTTTCTCAACTTATCCGTATTCATTTACAGCTAGGTCAGCTCCACTGAGGGCAAGCTCGTTTAAAGAGATTGTAAAGAGATTTTCTAAATTCTGTATGTGTAACGGCGATACCAATATCATCAAATGGCACAATGAATTTTCAATCAGACGTCTGTGGTTCCTGCAATTACACAAAAAAAGAAGTGTTCGAAGACGTCACTAATTGCAAAATATGCTTTATCACATAAGGCCCTTCGCGATTAGTGACGTCAACAAACACTTAAATTAAGTGGAATTACAGGAACTACAGTGTCTGATTGAAAATTGGAATGGTGTAAATTGATGATATCAGTAACCCCAATACGCAGCAATAATTTAGAAAACGTCTTTACAGTCTGTTTAAGTCCATCAATATCCGTCTAGTGGTTTATATATATATATATATAAGTTTTACGTTGAAGATTTCGAATTATTGCCCGTGAGCCCCCAATAAGGATTATCCGGGAAATATCAATGCCAAGAGGTTTGGTCAAGAACCAGCTGGTAGAAAGGATCTCCATGAGACTAACTTAAAAAAATCTGTACAAGAAAGACAATTCCGTTAATCAAAGTCTCATCCAAAATCGAAAGTAAGAGTTGTGTGGCAGTGAACCCAACCAAAGAGAAGTACCATCAGGTGTTTCGAAAAGAGTGAGCATGATCTGCTTGTAAAAACTGTTTCTTCCATCATTTGTACTTTGATTTTATGAAGAAAGTCTCTTAACAATATCAATTGGTAACAAGGTGTAATAAGGTCATGCTTTATCAAGGGTAACATATCAAACTGTCTCGTTCATGCTTCATTGATTATGATAAAAAATAGCTAAAATGACAGGAAAATGGAGGTATGGTTCAACGGCTCACTCCCTAAATACGACACTGCTACCTGATGATTTTGATAGAATGAATTGGAGGATTACATCCCAAAACAACGGATCGTTTCGAATGTTTCACGATTCAATAGTCGTAGTGGTAGTCGTACAAATTCTAACGATAGACAAAACAAAACCAACTGTGAACCTGTACTTTATTTAAATTGAAATGTAAACGTCAATCTGAAGGTACCCACTATGCACAAATGATTATGAATAAAAGAAAATATGTTACTTCAGTGGCAGTAAAAACATTAATCAAACAGTCCTCGCTGTGGTGTATGGATTAAAAATGGAGACCCCAAAACGAATGCAATGGAAAGGGAAGTGTGATTTTATTTTATCGTTAATTGGTTATGGTGTTGGATTAGGGAATATTTGGAGATTTCCTTATTTATGTGCTAAAAATGGTGGTGGTATGTACTTTTAAAATATTCTGGGGGTGGTCAGGATTACAAACTTACAAATTGTTATTAAACTACAAACATACAAACATTAGATTATATTACAGCGAAACCCCTCTCATATTACATTGGATTGACGGAAAATGCCGGTAAAGAGGGACTGTCAGTTAATTGTGCTACAGGCTACTCAGAGTCAGATGTCGTTCGGTCTTGCGACAACATGTGTTATGGGTGTCAAACTCATAAAATATGATTGCATTCCTCTCGGTTTATTTTGATGTTTCACTTCTAAACATTACCATAACTTTCACCAGGGTAAAATACAAACTCAGTCCTTATTAGCTCAGTCTTTATTAGCTCAGTCTTTATTAGCTCAGTCTTCATTAGCTCAGTCTTTATTAGCCCAGTCTTTATTAGCTCAGTCTTCATTAGCTCAGTCTTTATTAGCTCAGTCTTTATTAGCCCAGTCTTCATTAGACCTGTCTTCATTAGCTCAGTCTTTATTAGCTCAGTCTTTATTAGCCCAGTCTTCATTAGACCTGTCTTCATTAGCTCAGTCTTTATTAGCCCAGTCTTCATTAGCCCAGTCTTTATTAGCTCAGTCTTTATTATCCCAGTCTTTATTAGCTAGTCTTTATTAGCCCAGTCTTTATTAGCCCAGTCTTTATTAGTTCAGTCTTTATTAGCCTAGTCTTTATCAGCCTAGTCTTTATTAGCTCAGTCTTTATTAGCCCAGACTTCATTAGCTCAGTCTTTATTAGCCCAGTCTATATTAGCTCAGTCTTCATTAGCTCAGTCTTTATCAGCCTAGTCTTTATTAGCTCAGTCTTCATTAGCTCAGTCTTTATTAGCCTAGTCTTCATTAGCTTAGTCCTTATTAGCTCAGTCTTTATTAGCTCAGTCTTTATTAGCACAGTCTTTATTAGCTAAGTCTTCATTAGCTCAGTCTTTATTAGACCAGTCTTCATTAGCTCAGTCTTTATTAGCTCAGTCTTCATTAGCTCAGTCTTCATTAGCCCAATCTTTATTAGCTCAGTCTTTATTAGCCCAGTCTTTATTAGCTTAGTCTTCATTAGCTCAGTCTTTATTAGACCAGTCTTCATTAGCCCAGTCTTTATTAGCTCAGTCTTCATTAGCTCAGTCTTCATTAGCCCAATCTTTATTAGCCCAGTCTTTAATAGCTCAGTCTTTATTAGCCCAGTCTTTATTAGCTCAGTCTTTATTATCCCAGTCTTTATTAGCCCAGTCTTTATTAGTTCAGTCTTCATTAGCTCAGTCTTCATTAGACCAGTCTTCATTAGCTCAGACTTTATTAGCCCAGTCTTCATTAGCCCAGTCTTTATTAGCCCAGTCCTTATTAGCCTAGTCTTTATTAGCTCAGTCTTCATTAGACCAGTCTTCATTAGCTCAGTCTTTATTAGCTCAGTCCTTATTAGCTCAGTCTTTATCAGCCTAGTCTTTATTAGCTCAGCCTTCATTAGTCCAGTCTTCATTAGCCCAGTCTTTATTAGCTCAGTCTTCATTAGCCCAGTCCTTATTAGCTCAGTCTTCATTAGTCCAGTCTTCATTAGCCCAGTCTTTATTAGCTCAGTCTTCATTAGCCCAGTCTTCATTAGCCCAGTCTTTATTAGCTCAGTCTTCATTAGCCCAGTCCTTATTAGCTCAGTCTTCATTAGCCCAGTCTTCATTAGCCCAGTCTTTATTAGCTCAGTCTTCATTAGCCCAGTCCTTATTAGCTCAGCCTTCATTAGTCCAGTCTTCATTAGCCCAGTCCTTATTAGCTCAGCCTTCATTAGTCCAGTCTTCATTAGCCCAGTCTTTATTAGCTCAGTCTTTATTAGCCCAGTCTTTATTAGCTCAGTCTTCATTAGCCCAGTCCTTATTAGCTCAGTCTTTATTAGCTCAGTTTTTATTAGCCCAGTCTTTATTAGCTCAGTCTTCATTAGACCAATCTTCATTAGCTCAGTCTTTGTTAGCCCAGCCTTCATTAGCCCAGTCTTTATTAGCCCAGTCTTTATTAGCTCAGTCTTCATTAGACCAGTCTTCATTAGTCCAGTCTTCATTAGCTCAGTCTTTATTAGCTCAGTCCTTATTAGCCTAGTCTTTATTAGCTCAGCCTTCATTAGTCCAGTCTTCATTAGCTCAGTCTTTATTAGCTCAGTCTTTATTAGCTCAGTCTTCATTAGTCCAGTCTTCATTAGCTCAGTCTTTATTAGCTCAGTCCTTATTAGCCTAGTCTTTATTAGCTCAGCCTTCATTAGTCCAGTCTTCATTAGCTCAGTCTTTATTAGCTCAGTCTTTATTAGCCCAGTCTTTATTAGCTCAGTCTTCATTAGCCCAGTCTTTATTAGCTCAGTCTTCATTAGCCCAATATTTATTAGCTCAGTCTTTATTAGCTCAGTCTTTATTAGACCAGTCTTCATTAGCTCAGTCTTCATTAGCTCAGTCTTTATTAGCTCAGTCTTTCGTAGCCCAATCAGAAGTAGAAATAGGGCGTAAAACTCCATTTTATTCCCTTTTCAGCGGTATTCCTGATTCCCTACGCAGTATTCATGGTGCTGGTGGCGTTTCCACTGATATTTCTAGAATTATCCCTTGGACAGTATTCTGGAAAGAGTGCATTTGGAGTGTGGGATATTTGCCCCGCCGTTAGAGGTGAGTTCTGAATAGTATTAGGGATCGAGGTACCGTTTTTCAGTTTTATTTTGGTGTTTTAGGCCCCCAACGTATTTCAAATAATAAAGATGCCTTTTGGGCATTTAGATGGCTTAATTTTCATTTCAAATTTGACCTCTTACCTGCCTGTGTAGGGGTGGGAGAGGGAGGGGGGAGATGCATGGCCCAATGGCCATCTTCCCTAATTACACCACTGTGGGAAAACCAAAAACTACTCTCACGCCATACTCTTTGCAGCCGTGTCTACTTGGCAGCATGATACCCACCCCTGCCACCAATAACCTACACCATTACAGTCCCATGTTCTCTACCGCCACGAAATGGAAAGGATTGACACTCACGCCATATCCTGTCATCAATAACTCAAGCCAAATTGTAAATAATTATAGGTATTGGACTGGCTATGACTGGTATATCAGTGATCTGTTGTCTTTACTATAACACAATTCTCGCCTGGATCTTATATTATCTATTCAACTCCTTCAAATCTCCTCTACCGTGGGTTGGATGTGACAACTGGTGGAACACAGACGACTGTTATGTTAAAGATATCAGTGGTAATAGTACCACCAACAACGTAACGTCGTTTGACTATCTGAACACGAACAATGTAACGTCGTTTGACTATCTGAACATCATCAACAGAACAGCTTCTACGTTACACACCATGATGAATAACACTGTGCACCCTGATAACACAACTAAAATCTACGCTCCAACTGAAGAATTCTGGAAGTAAGTACTATATTCCATGATTTGAGTTGTAATTATTTGTTTGTAAGGACGTAGCGTATGAAATATATTAGATAATAGTAAAGAGAAAAGCCTAGACCGCTCTGACCCAACTCAACCATCCATTAAAATTGAATAAACGCTTTTTGTTACCATTGTGTTCACCCATGAAGCATATTGCTTGGACAATGACTGTTTTCCCCAGCAGTTTCCTGTATGGTACTCAGAATAAGTGCTTACCAAACTATATATAAAACTATCGTGTCTAACTAGCTAGTAGATTGTTTGGTACTTTGACAGTCTCCGGTGATCAGAAAGGGGCTACAGCATACCAAACTCTCGTATTCAACCAGCTGGCAGCTGTTTGGTACTTTGGCAGTTTTCTGTGATCAAAATGAGACTAGAACATACCAAACTATCGTGTCCAATCAGCTGGCAGATTGCTTGGTACAATGACAGTTTTCTATGATCAAAATGAGACTAGAACATAGCAAACTATCGTGTCCAATCAGATGGCAGATTAATTGGTACAATGACAGTTTTCTATTGTCAAAATGAGACTAGAACATAGCAAACTATCGTGTCCAATCAGATGGCAGATTAATTGGTACAATGACAGTTTTCTATGATCAAAATGAGACTAGAACATAGCAAACTATCGTGTCCAATCAGATGGCAGATTAATTGGTACAATGACAGTTTTCTATGGTCAAAATGAGACTAGAACATAGCAAACTATCGTGTCCAATCAGATGGCAGATCAATTGGTACAATGACAGTTTTCTGTGATCAAAATGAGACTAGAACATAGAAAACTGTCGTGTCCAACAAGCTGGAAGAATGCTTGCTACAATGACAGTTTTTCTATGGTCAAAATGAGACTAGAACATACCAAACTATCGTGTTCAATCAGCTGGCAGAGTAATTGGTACAATGACAGTTTTCTGTGATCAGAATGAGACTAAAACATACCAAACTATCGTGTCCAATCAGCTGGCAGATTAATTGGTACAATGACAGTTTTTCTGTGGTCAAAATGAGACTAGAACATACCAAACTATCGTGTCCAATCAGCTGGAAGAATAATTGCTACAATGACAGTTTTCTATGGTCAAAATGAGACTAGAACATACCAAACTATCGTGTCCAATCAGCTGGCAGATTACTTGGTACAATGACAGTTTTCTGTGATCAGAATGAGACTAAAACATACCAAACTATCGTGTCTAACTAGCTAGTAGATTGCTTGGTACAATGACAGTTTTCTGTGATCAGAATGAGACTAGAACACACCAAACTATCGTGTCCAATCAGCTGGCAGATTGCTTGGTACAATGACAGTTTTCTATGGTCAAAATGAGACTAGAACATACCAAACTATCGTGTCCAATCAGATGGCAGTTTAATTGGTACAATGACAGTTTTCTGTGATCAAAATGAGACTAGAACATAGCAAACTGTCGTGTCCAACAATCTGGAAGAATGCTTGCTACAATGACAGTTTTTCTGTGGTCAAAATGAGACTAGAACATACCAAACTATCGTGTCCAATCAGCTGGCAGATTGCTTGCTACAATGACAGTTTTCTGTGATCAGAATGAGACTAGAACATAGCAAACTGTCGTGTCCAATCAGCTGGCAGATTGCTTGGTACAATGACAGTTTTCTATGGTCAAAATGAGACTAGAACATACCAAACTATCGTGTCCAATCAGATGGCAGATTAATTAGTACAATGAAAGTTTTCTGTGATCAAAATGAGACTAGAACATAGCAAACTGTCGTGTCCAACAAGCTGGAAGAATGCTTTCTACAATGACAGTTTTTCTATGGTCAAAATGAGATTAGAACATACCAAACTATCGTGTCCAATCAGCTGGCAGATTGCTTGGTACAATGACAGTTTTCTATGGTTAAAATGAGACTAGAACATTCCAAATTATCGTGTCCAATCAGCTGGCAGATTGCTTGGTAACACAACTAAAAACTACGCTCCAACTGAAGAATTCTGGAAGTAAGTTCTATATTCCATGATTTGAGTTGTAATTATTTGTTTGTAAGGACGTAGCGTATGAAATATATTAGATAATAGTAAAGAGAAAAGCCTAGAGCGCTCTGACCCAACTCAACCATCCATTAAAATTGAATAAACGCTTTTTGTTACCATTGTGTTCACCCATGAAGCATATTGCTTCGACAATGACTGTTTTCCCCAGCAGTTTCCTGTATGGTACTCAGAATAAGTGCTTTCCAAACTATATATAAAACTATCGTGTCTAACTAGCTAGTAGATTGTTTGGTACATTGACAGTCTCCGGTGATCAGTGAGGGGCTACAGCATACCAAACTCTCGTATTCAACCAACCTGCAGCTGTTTGGTACTTTGGCTGTTTTCTGTGATCAAAATGAGACTAGAACATACCAAACTATCATGGCCAATCAGCTGGCAGATTGCTTGGTACAATGACAGTTTTCTATGGTCAAAATGAGACTAGAACATACCAAACTGTCGTGTCCAACAAGCTGGAAGAATGCTTGCTACAATGACAGTTTTTTTGTGGTCAAAATGAGACTAGAACATACCAAACTATCGTGTCCAATCAGCTGGCAGATTGCTTGGTACAATGACAGTTTTCTGTGATCAGAATGAGACTAGAACATACCAAACTATCGTGTCCAATCAGATGGCAGTTTAATTGGTACAATGACAGTTTTCTGTGATCAAAATGAGACTAAAACATACCAAACTATCGTGTCCAATCAGATGGCAGATTGCTTTTTATAATGACAGTTTTCTATGGTTAAAATGAGACTAGAACATACCAAACTATCGTGTCCAATCAGATGGCAGATTAATTGGTACAATGACAGTTTTCTGTGATCAAAATGAGACTAGAACATAGCAAACTGTCGTGTCCAACGAGCTGGAAGAATGCTTGCTACAATGACACATTTTCTGTGGTCAAAATGAGACTAGAACATACCAAACTGTCGTGTCCAATCAGCTGGCAGATTGCTTTTTACAATGACAGTTTTCTATGGTCAAAATGAGACTAGAACATACCAAACTATCGTGTCCAATCAGATGGCAGATTAATTGGTACAATGAAAGTTTTCTGTGATCAAAATGAGACTAGAACATACCAAACTGTCGTGTCCAACAAGCTGGAAGAATGCTTTCTACAATGACAGTTTTTCTATGGTCAAAATGAGACTAGAACATACCAAACTATCGTGTCCAATCAGCTGGCAGATTGCTTGGTACAATGACAGTTTTCTATGGTTAAAATGAGACTAGAACATTCCAAACTATCGTGTCCAATCAGCTGGCAGATTGCTTGGTACAATGACAGTTTTCTATGGTCAAAATGAGACTAGAACATACCAAACTATCGTGTCCAATCAGATGGCAGATTAATTGGTACAATGACAGTTTTCTGTGATCAAAATGAGACTAGAACATAGCAAACTGTCGTGTCCAACAATCTGGAAGAATGCTTTCTACAATGACAGTTTTTCTATGGTCAAAATGAGACTAGAACATACCAAACTATCGTGTCCAATCAGCTGGAAGAATGCTTGCTACAATGACAGTTTTCTATGGTCAAAATGAGACTAGAACATACCAAACTATCGTGTCCAATCAGCTGGCAGATTACTTGGTACAATGACAGTTTTCTGTGATCAGAATGAGACTAAAACATACCAAACTATCGTGTCTAACTAGCTAGTAGATTGCTTGGTACAATGACAGTTTTCTGTGATCAGAATGAGACTAGAACACACCAAACTATCGTGTCCAATCAGCTGGCAGATTGCTTGGTACAATGACAGTTTTCTATGGTCAAAATGAGACTAGAACATACCAAACTATCGTGTCCAATCAGCTGACAGATTAATTGGTACAATGACAGTTTTCTGTGGTCAAAATGAGACTAGAATATACCAAACTATCGTGTCCAACAAGCTGGCAGAACGCTTGGTACAATGACAGTTTTATTTCCATACTGAACACAATGGTCATTTAAAGATTCTTGTTTTATCTTTCAGTTTAAATGTATTACGGATATCGAGTGGTTTTGAAGATATAGGCTCTATCCAGTGGCATCTGGTATTGGCTCTAGCTCTAGCCTGGTTGTTTATTTATATTTGTGTGTTTAAAGGAGTGGAGTCTGTAGGCAAGGTAAAATAGTTTATTTATTAGTTGAGAAAAATTGTTAAACATGTTTTACTAGATACGCATGGACCCAATTTCTGTGATCGGAATGAATGAGTGCTGAATTGCGACCGGGGTACAGTAAGGTCGTGGGCACACAGCGGTTGATCATAGCGGTTGTATTGTTCTGAAAATTATTTAAATTCATAAAATAAAAGACCGATTACAATAGTAACCATTCTTGCCTTTGCACAAAGCTATCAAGATGATGTCTAGTCATTTCTGCGCTGAAAGTCCATTTTCGATCATCGTAATAAGCAATAGACAATAATATTGCCTTCCTATGAACATGATCCTCTTCATTAGTCTAATTAGTTACAGAAAGGTAGGACGTAAAGCTCCATTTCATATAGTGAACATGTGAACACACGAAAAGTAGAAAATAAATCTAAAGGATGTATAGAACTAAATTGCATATTTTATAACATACATACGTTACGAATGAATGAGTACAAGTGGGTTATTCAGTGATTTGAATAAAAAACCATTGTGGCAAGAATAGACCTGTTAACGTTCACGACTCGTTAAACTATTATAGATTGTCTTACATATTTTATGATTACATCTACTTGGCAGACTTCTATGTTATAAAATATTTGATCAAAAGATATTAGTAACGGAAAAGTACCTTGTTTATGAAGTCGTCGTCCGTTGTCTATTGGTTGGTTTTGCTTGATGGCACCTTCACAATGTCAAGCTATTACGAACCTTTGTCATTTCAGCGACTTGATTCGATGGTACGCTACCATAAGCCATAATGTTTACAGCCTTGATGTCGAGGACTGTGATTGGCTGTATTAGGTACCATACAGTCCATTTACATCACTGTCTTGACAAACTTCCACGATACAAGAAAGGTGGATATTGCAGTCAAGCTCGGTATTGTGAAAATGATTTGTTTTGGGAGATCGACCTTTACTGCACTACTACTACTGTCTGGTTGGCACGGGTTGCATTCAAGCGATAATATTAAAGGAAATATATTTTTTTTAACATGAATGGAAAACTACCGGGACTGAGTAGGCTAAGAGTAATCATCTATGGCAAAACCACACAGAAATATTTTTACAATCATTTAATTTACTTTCCTCAAGGACTAGGTCGCTAGTAACCTGTTGACCGAAATGAACTTTCAAGGAGCAAAACACTCGTATATCAAGACCTGGTTCTAACTCTCTGTGACGAAAGAGTTGTCATGTCGTTTCAAAATTGTTTCATCATTGACTGCCCCGATGTCTAACCTGTCTGACTATGTTATGTTCTACCCTAGGTTGTGTACTAGACTGCTTCAATATCTAGCATGTCTGAATATGTTATTTGGTACCTAGGTTGTGTACTAGACTGCCTCAATATCTAGCCAGTCTGAATATGTTATTTAGTACCTAGGTTGCGTACTAGACTGTCTCAATGTCTTGCCTGTCTGAATATGTCCCTTGCACCCTAGATTGCGTACTAGACTGCCTCAATGTCTAGCCTGTCTGAATATGTTATTTGGTACCTAGATTGTGCACTTGACTGCCCCGAAGTCTAGTCTGTCTGAATATATTCCTTGTACCCTAGGTTGCGTACTAGACAGCCTCAATGTCCAGCCTGTCTGAATATGTTATGTGGTACCTAGGTTGTGTACTTGACTGCCATGATGTCTAGTCTGTCTGAATATGTTATTTTGTACCCTAGATTGTGTACATATTGTCTATATTTTGTACCCTAGGTTGTGTACATATTGTCTATATTTTTTACCCTAGGTTGTTTACATATTGTCTATATTTTGTACCCTAGGTTTTGTACATATTGTCTATATTTTGTACCCTAGGTTGTGTACATATTTGTCTATATTTTGTACCCTAGGTTGTGTATATATTGTCTATATTTTGAACCCTAGGTTGTGTTTAAAGTATCCTATATTTTGTACCCTAGGTTGTGTACATATTGTCTATATTTTGTACCCTAGGTTGTGTACATATTGCCTATATTTTGTACCCTAGGTTGTGTACATATTGTCTATATTTTGTACCCTAGGTTGTGTACATATTGTCTATATTTTGTACCTTAGGTTGTGTACATATTGTCTATATTTTGTACCCTAGGTTGTGTACATATTTCCTATATTTTGTACCCTAGGTTGTGTACATATTGTCTATATTTTGTACCCTAGGTTGTGTACATATTGTCTATATTTTGTACCTTAGGTTGTGTTTAAAGTATCCTATATTTTGTACCCTAGGTTGTTTACATATTGTCTATATTTTGTACCCTAGGTTGTGTATATATTGTCTATATGTTGTACATTAGGTTGTGTTTAAAGTATCCTATATTTTGTACCCTAGGTTGTGTACATATTGTCTATATTTTGCACCCTAGGTTGTTTACATATTGTCTATATTTTGTACCCTAGGTTGTATACGTGACGGCCACCATGCCGTATATACTGATAACTATAATATTAATCAGAGCTCTGACTCTACCTGGTGCCATAGATGGGGTATATTTCTATATTATTCCTGATTTTAGCAAACTTGGAGAATTGCAGGCAAGTTCTTATTATATATATACAAAGTTCCCGATGGTTGCTTTTACTGGTGGTTTAGATTTGACCAATTTTCAAAATCAGAATGACATTTTTCCAGAGGACTGGAACAACAACAACAACTGGATAACAAAGAGTACTGTCTACCAGCTGGTTATAGGCCAAATATCTAGGCATTATCTGTCTCGGTTAATGCGTACACATTTACAACTGGATCAACAAGAAAAATAACAAATCACCAGATTTTCACACCGACCGAAATTAAAATATACGCTTGCCATTAATTCGTGTCATACAAACAAATGACATCATGTAAAGATTACAACGCATTAACCGACTGAGCTACAGAACCCCCTCGACGCTTAAAAACCTTGTAGTGATTTTCAACCACCCAATTTGTAGCAGAGTGACATAATTCATTGACAGAAAATTTTCCAGATTTCAATAACCTGTGCATGTCATCTGACCTATATTTCTGCTAGGTTACCACGCCCCATGAGGTCTAAACTTGGTACACAACACCTTTTTTGTGTGTATTGTTGGCTGGCATGCTTCTGTCATTGTGCTTATCCATAGTGTGTTATTAACCAATTTTTTATTTTTACAGGTCTGGTTACAAGCCATGATGCAAATGTTTTTCTCGGTAGGGATGGGCTGGGGAGGTTTTATTACAATGGCCAGCTATAACAAGTTTAATAATAATGTTTTAAGGTAGTATTTCTTTGTATTCGATTAGACTGTAAATCTGGTCAACCAACAATGAATCCCTTTGAATAGACACTTATCTTCGCCTGATACAGAGATAGTATTACATACTGTGTATTGTATTTTACAGAGATAGTATTATATACTGTGTATTGTATTTTACAGAGATAGTATTATATACTGTGTATTATATTTTACAGAGATAGTATTATATACTGTGTATTATATTGTACAGAGATAGTATTATATACTGTGTATTATATTTTACAGAGATAGTATTATATATTGTGTATTGTATTTTACAGAGATAGTATTATATACTGTGTATTGTATTTTACAGAGATAGTATTATAAACTGTGTATTATATTTTACAGAGATAGTATTATATACTGTGTATTATATTTTACATAGATAGTATTATATACTGTGTATTATATTACAGAGATAGTATTATATACTGTGTATTATATTACAGAGATAGTATTATATACTGTGTATTGTATTTTACAGAGATAGTATTATAAACTGTGTATTATATTTTACAGAGATAGTGTTATATACTGTGTATCATATGTTACAGAGATAGTGTTATATACTGTGTATTGTATTTTACAGAGAGAGTATTATATACTGTGTATTATATTTTACAGAGATAGTATTATATACTGTGTATTATATTTTACAGAGATAGTATTATATACTGTGTATTATATTTTACAGAGATAGTATTATATACTGTGTATTATATTTTACAGAGATAGTATTATATACTGTGTATTATATTTTACAGAGATAGTATTATATACTGTGTATTATATTTTACAGAGATAGTATTATATACTGTGTATTATATTTTACAGAGATAGTATTATATACTGTGTATTATATTTTACAGAGATAGTATTATATACTGTGTATTATATTTTACAGAGATAGTATTATATACTGTGTATTATATTTTACAGAGATAGTATTATATACTGTGTATTGTATTTTACAGAGATAGTATTATATACTGTGTATTGTATTTTACAGAGAGAGTATTATATACTGTGTATTATATTTTACAGAGATAGTATTATATACTGTGTATTATATTTTACAGAGATAGTATTATATACTGTGTATTATATTTTACAGAGATAGTATTATATACTGTGTATTATATTTTACAGAGATAGTATTATATACTGTGTATTATATTTTACAGAGAGAGTATTATATACTGTGTATTATATTTTACAGAGATAGTATTATATACTGTGTATTATATTTTACAGAGATAGTATTATATACTGTGTATTATATTTTACAGAGATAGTATTATATACTGTGTATTGTATTTTACAGAGATAGTATTATATACTGTGTATTATATTTTACAGAGATAGTATTATATACTGTGTATTATATTTTACAGAGATAGTATTATATACTGTGTATTATATTTTACAGAGATAGTATTATATACTGTGTATTATATTTTACAGAGATAGTATTATATACTGTGTATTATATTTTACAGAGATAGTATTATATACTGTGTATTATATTTTACAGAGATAGTATTATATACTGTGTATTGTATTTTACAGAGATAGTATTATATACTGTGTATTATATTTTACAGAGATAGTATTATATACTGTGTATTATATTTTACAGAGATAGTATTATATACTGTGTATTATATTTTACAGAGATAGTATTATATACTGTGTATTGTATTTTACAGAGATAGTATTATATACTGTGTATTATATTTTACAGAGATAGTATTATATACTGTGTATTATATTTTACAGAGATAGTATTATATACTGTGTATTGTATTTTACAGAGATAGTATT